ATCAGATTCTACCATCAATTATGATGTAATTTTAAAATTTTAATTTTAATAATCAAAATTCAAATTTTAATAATTTCGTAATTTAGAAAAAAAAAATGTCTTTATCAAAGAATGAAATGTTAAAGGGGAAAAAAAAAAAAAAACCTATGCTACTCGCATAAGACTGAACTAGTTGAGCTAGGATGCTTTGTCTTTGAAATATGAACTAGTTGAAAAAGTTAATTGGGATGTCCAACCTGTTGATTAAAAAAAAAAAAAAAAAAGAGAAATTCATTGTTAAAATCCTCCTTTAATTCTCTCATATTCTTTTCATTTTTGGGTTCTTTCAAGTTCATATATGACAACCAGTCAAGTTATATGATTGAAATATGGTTAATAACACAACCTAGAATTCAGACCTTCCATTATCAAATCAGCAACAAACATATTTTTTTTGCCTTCCTTTTATTATCAACCTTGATTTATTTAATCATATCAAAAAGATAAATAAACCAACGAACAATTGAATTTAATTGTAGATCAATCCACCTGTGGGTTTGGCTCTACTTGAATCGAGCCTTGAACACTATTTTTCAAGCGGGAAATATTATTTTTATTAAATTTAATTGTGAAATATATTTAAAATTATTAAATATTAGTATTTTTAATATTAACAAATTTGAATCTTTTAGGCCTATTGGGCCAAGTAAGGTCAACCTTGGCTAAGGCTATTGAAAAGCCAGTTAAGTCTGGTCCAGCCCGACTTATTTCATGTACACTTCTAATATAATGTACAGGCATGGTCTTAGGTAAAACATTTTTGACTTAGATGTTAATTTCTACACTTAATTATACAATTCTCAACAAATTGATTTCAAACCAATCTTAATCTAAGTGGGTATTTGAAAATGTCCTACCTCCAACAAAATCGTAGGATGTGCATGTTAAACCAAATCCTTTACTTGATCAAGTCAGCTTACATATAATAGGTCAATGCATGAGAAAAGAATCACAAATAGTAACTCTATATATGTTCAATAACGTGCCTACAATACTCATCAAGAACGTAAATTTGGGTCAAATTCTCAAAAAAAAAAAAAAGGGGGTTTGGTTGGTTAGTTTAGCTAAGTGAACAATTTGGACTAATATGAGAAAAAATAAAAATATTCTTTTATATATGTAAAAAGCAAAAGAATAGTTGCCTTTTCTACTCAATATTGTACGGCTGCATGAATTAAACATGGAATAAAGTTGATTAAGCTGGTTTTTATAAATGGCAAATTTTGGATATTGGAGGCTGACGGCTGGAAATTTTCCAAATTTGTGGATTAATATTGGAAAATTATAGATATATCACCCATCAATGTTGAATCAATATGGGATTTGAAGATGAAAGTTAATTGTTTTTTAATTAAAGCTTATAATTTTGTGGAATCCTTAAATCCTGACGGCGAATTGCTGGAAAATTTCCAAGAAAGTACATATATATCGATCCACCACCTACCCCGAGGAAAGAAAATGATATTATAATGAAAAGGGCAAAATTTTCCATAAAAAAAGAATATATGAATTCTCCTAAATTTTTTTTAAATAATTATTTTGATACATAAAAGGTCATAGTTTGAAAATAAAAGTGTTTATAAATCAAGTTAAATTAGGTTCAAATTAGGCTTATACTGAGTATTAATAATTTATATATTTATTTAAATTTAGTTTAATATTTCAAACTTCAAAAATTTTTTAAATTTGACTCAAATTAAAAAAATTAATTTTAAATCCATCCATTAAATGTAATTTATATAATAAAAATTAAATAAAATTTTAAATAAAATATAAAATAAAAATTCACATATTTATTTATATAAATATAATATTTTAATTATATCTATTTTATTATAATTGAATTGACTAGACTCGGCTTTTAATTTTTTTGTTTAAGATATGATCCAAATTTTAAATAAATTTAAAAATTATATTCAAATTCGCTTAATAAATTTTAATTTTTTATCTAAATCTTCTTAAAATTTAAATTAACTTTCAAGTTTTGTGGAATAACTTAACTCTTGAACAAACTTACTTGAGAATAATAAAAATTAAAAATTAAAAATTTAATTTATTAAATATTATTTTTTAAAAGTAATTGTATAAATTAATTAAAATAAGTTTCAAAATAAATATAAGTAATTATTGTTTAGTCAATTAAAATGATTAAAAAAGTGGTTAGTCTAAAAAAAAACAGGTTTTTTTTTTTTTTTATACGAAACGCAGAGTTTCAAATAAAAATCTATTTTCTCTAGCAATTATTCTGTCCATCAAGACGAAAAAAAAAAAAAAAAAGGCATATTAGGCAATTGCCATGGTTGCTTTTAACAGCACTATCCAAAGCTGACTCCCATTTTCCCACTGCACTGATCAAGGACTTGGTGGTATCAAGATCGTGCATGAAAATCATCACAAAAAATTCATCACAGCCATGAAATTGAGTGGAAGCCCCATCAAGTAGGTGCAAGATGACGACAGTGTAGACGTTAGGATTGTAAAAGCTCTTTGTGTAAAGGAATTTTAGTCTGTTTTTCGGTGAGTGATTTTTGGATTATGGCATTGGGATTGTGGGGGTTAGGAGCTATCTTAGGCTCACCAACCTTCCAGTAAAAAAGGATCATCCCTTTTTTAGCTAATTTTGTTGGGGTGGGTTCTAATTTTCTCCATTGGTGTACCCATCACAAATTTAATTTTTTTGATTCATGGTTTATAGATTTTTTTTTTTTGTACTAATAGATCATATAATTTGATTATTTTCTTTAACAATGGAGATTATAATTGGAAAAAAATTATAAATTCTAAAATTTTAATATCAATCTATTGGCTATTATATTTTAAGAATGATTATATAAATTAATTAAATTAAACTCTAAATTTATAATTGAATTAATTGCACTTAAAAAATTATTTTGCGACAATGATTTATAAATTTTTTTGAGATAAATATGATTAATTTAATCTTCCATTGTAAATCATTTCCCTCTTTAATTTTTTTTTCCTCATGGTGAGGTTTTAAATATATTCAAATTAGTACTATCAATTACCCATTTTGTTTCTTCAATTAATTATTTGTTTAGTGAAACTTAAATCGATTCTGAGATTTAGAGTTTGAATATCAATCATAAATTAAAAATTAAAAAAAAAACCATTTTTGTCCTCCTTTTGTTGGATTAAAACTATTTTTGTCTTAATTTCTTTGGATTTTCTATTTGTTCCCAAACCATTATCAATTGTCCATTATCTTGGATACATAAGCATTTGTCTTTAATTTTGCTTTTCATATCTCTCATGTGTAGCATTTGTCCTCATTTTTGCTTTCATATCTCTTATCGTATTTTTATTAATTGACATTCAATCTATGAAATAATATCAATTTTAATTTAAAAATTTTACGATTTATCTTATACAAAATTTTTCATAAATTTTTTGTTTAAATCTCAACTTATATATTATAATAAAATTTTAAAATATCTTGATATAAAATTAAAATATCATAATTATAAATTAAAAACAAAAAATGATTTAATTAACTATTATAAATGATGAAATAGTTAGTATTACTTTTATTTTTTTTAATTTTATGCAAATATTGATTTGAACAAATTAAAACAATTATATAAATCATATAAAATCTTAATCAATAAAAAAAATCTAAATTCAAACAACATTTCTTTTCACCAAGTCAAAAAAGAAAAAAAAAAGTATGAATTAAATATTTATTTTACATCTTTTTATGCATGCAAAACTTTTTTTCTTTTTACTTTTTACAAAAAGGAAATGGTTTTCTAGTTTTCCACGTTCACATGAGGTGGATTTTGTGCTTCACTTAAATGGATAAGATTGATTTTTTTTTTTTTAATAGTTAAGACTGATAAAGTGCTTAAAAAACAAGTTAAAACGTAAGATTACAAATCAAAATCATGTAATAATTGTACGGCGGCAACAGCACACGTGAAAGGGCAAAATGGCACCTTTGCTTGTTAGATTCCTTTCTCTAATTTGTGTTCACACTCGCTAGATTCCGCCTCTACCGCGTTCACACTTGACTGATCTTTGCCTTCGTCTAGCCGCTCCATGCTTTGGACTTTTAAGCTTGAAATACATGGCTTGGCTAATTAGTTAAATTTTATGGCTTTATTTGCCTTTGAGTTCATAGAATGGGAATTCATGGCCCCCAACTCAATGTAAATTTTTATTTTTTATATCTCTTGCATGTATTCAATATAAAAAAAAGTTAAATTTATTAATATTTTTATATTTAAAATAATTAGAGATTGAATTTTGTTTATTAAAATAAAAAATTTAACATATATAAATTAATAGAGTGTGTAATTGTTTAAAATGATTAATTTTAATGGTAAAATCTTTTGATTATTAATCATGATATTATATACTTGAGATCATAATTTTTTGTATAGGTTTATGATGTTTTAAAATTGATTTTTACTCTATAATCTAAAATAAAGCTCAATCGAGGTTAAATAATTAAAATTTTATTTTTATTTATTTTTATTTCATTTGAAGATAAAAAATTATATATCAATCCGTGAATTAAATGTTTGAATGTATTCTTAATCTTTTTTAAAAATGTTAATTTCCCAATAATCTAATATCTATAATTAGAAGGGAAGCCACAAAGAACAAAACTAAAGAAGCCGAGCCATAGCCAAGCCAACTTAACAGACATCATTAACCCATGCAGTTGTCAATTTGTAACCAAACTAAAAATAAAGTTGTCAATCACATGCATTTCAGTTGAAAGCTAAAACCAATCCGAAATAGTTGGTGATGAGGTCAAACAATTATCATCAGCCACGTCGGACGACATTCATTCTACGTGGCAACATTTTAGGTTTGACTCTTTCACCTCCTTTTCTCCCCCCTCCACCCCACCGTTCCTTCCCTTCTTATATATGACCCATTGCTTATAAACATTCAAGTCCTCGCTCTTCTCCATTCATATCAAAAAACACATTTCAATGGGAAATTGTTTGAAGCATCAATCATCAACAAAATGGGCCGGCGACGACTGGCGAACGCATGCTGCCAACGACGACGACGACGAAGGGTTTTTCGCTAGACGTGACACCTTTGAATATAAGGGTATGATGAACATAGAAGAAAAGGGCCTTCTCGGAAGCCATCAAAATGGTTTTACAACATCTTCAGCTACTGCAACCCATGAAGTTAAAGTTAAGATAACAAAGAAGCAGTTGGAGGAGTTATTAGGTAGGGTTGATGTAAAAGAGTTATCAGTGCAACAGGTTTTGGCACAGTTGATCAATGTTAGTAACCAATATGAAGCAAATCAACGGTCCTGGAGGCCTGCACTGCAAAGCATTCCTGAGGTAAATTGAGCTGATCATGGTGAAGGAAAAAAAAAAAACCCAGAAATTTTCTTTCTTCTCTCCTTTGTTCCTATTAATTGGTGGGGTTTTTCTTGTATGGTACTTTTATTAATTTTCTTGGGAAAGTGACAGGAAAATGGAGGGTAGAGAAAAGTTCTGTAGATTTTGTTGATCAGTGTGTATATAGAAAGAACAGGGCATTTTGTTGTATAGATTTGAAGAGTTCTTTTTGACTCACAGCTCTATTAATTTGTTTGATATTTGTTTTTTTTATAAATTAATTAATTTCTGTTCAAATCTGTTGGTGATGATTCAGTCATAATAATTAGGTAATTATAACTCAAATAATTAATTTGAAAAGGACTTGGTTAAAAGATTATACTATATATTTCAGTTCAATTTTTTTATATAATTTTTTTTTAATTAAACATGACTGATTGAAAGCTGAGTCATGAAATTTGCCCATTCAACTATCAAATTGAGTCACTGTGCTGATTAAGTGGCCTTTCAAACATTTCTTAGCTATTCAACCACCAAAGATCGTGACAAAGACATCACCAAAATGAAGATAACGTATATAGGTCAAAGCTCAAAACTAGCCTTGATCATATGCTTCAAATGGCAACAACTCATGAATTCAATCTTGAACAAATCAAAATGCCAAAAAAACATTAAAAACCAAAGGGAAATCGTCAAAATTTGTATTTTAAGCTAAAATTTACCAAATACCATATACACCAAATAGTTGACCCCAAAAAATCTAGCAAGTGGTTGAGGAGAGCTAGAGCTTCAGCTACCTCATATTGATCTTGTCTGTAGTCAATGCTAAGATATGAGCCGTATCAAAAGAGAACCCCTATCAACGAATCAAGGAGCCACTGTCCACAATGGTTGGCTCATTCAAAACTTAGACTGTTGGTTTGGCTGCCCATATAGGCCCGAATATCTTTTAGTTCTTTTTGGGCTTAGATTCCTGATCACATGAGACATAAAATTTTGCTTGATCCGCCTGAAAAGAAATTTGGGTTTTACTTGAATATAATTTCTGATCATAGGCAGGTTTTCAGGTGTAATATTAAGTAAACAATAAGTATTTTGGCTTTGTAATTATCTTTTTTATGAAGTCAGAATCATAGTGCACAAACTTCATCGATGCAGAAGAAAAGAGAAAAACAATGGTGCCAAAACTTGTTGATAAGGAAGGCAAGAGACCACCATAATTTCATGATGAAGAAGAAAAGAGAGGTCCAAGGATGCCAAAATTTCATGATGAAGAAGGCATAAGAGAAACAAAGTCCAAAACGCTGCCCCAACCTTTCAGGACCATATCCTTGACTGGTGTTTCCTCACATTGATAGTCGATACCAAACTTTCTGCACCATGTCGCAGCCCTTCAAGAGTTTCCAGAGGAAAATTCCGATGTTGCAAAACAAAGAAGCAGCTTGGGGTTGCTTTTATGGCTGGTTACTTATGTCTCCTGTAACCAGTAAAAAAAGTATAATTGATCAGTTCTTTCTCTGGAACCCTTTATCTTCCGAGTTCATCGTTCTACCTCCATTGAAGTTAAGCTCCAAGCAAATATCTATACTGGGATTTCCCTATCACCTCCTAGCCATCCAGAAGCATGGTGTTATTGTTCGGGAAGGTTCTCAAATTCTTGGTATTTTGCAGACCCGGAGACAGAAAATGGACTAGACTACGCTATGGAGAGATCAAGGTTATGGATGGTAAAACTAGTACATTTGCCATTGAGTATGACGATGTTCTTTCTTCTCCTGTTAATTGTAATGGAAAACTGAATGTTTTAATGAAGAGTATTACTATTAGTAAGTTAAAGATGATTGAACAAGTTAAAGCTAGTTACTTGACCTTGAGCACATTGGACTGCGAGTTAGCTCGTGGCTTCACATATGGGATATAAGGTTGGTAGAATCTTGTGGAGAATTATTTGCTATTAAAATTAAATGGGAACGGGTATGTGGCATCCAGGTCGTACATGCTGAGGTTTTGAAGTTAGATTCGATTAAAATGGCATGGAATGAGGTGAGATTTGCCAGAGATCGGGCGTTTTTCTTAAGTGAGTACTATGCGATTTCCTGCCCTGCAAACAAGCCTGATGATCAGATTGAAGGAGGCTACCTATATTTCAGTTTGACAGGAGATAAGGGCTCGTACACGTTCAATATTGAAGATAAAAGCATCCTTTTCTCTTCGCCTTGGAAGAATCTGCCAGAGCCAGAATATTTTTCCTTTTGGGCAATTCCTGATTTAAGGTAACACTATTTCTTCCATTGATATGAATAACATTGTCTTGAATTCAAAATTTAACTCAATTGATTCATAAAATCACTTTTATAAAATGGCATCTAATAGGTCTGGAATTCAAATCCAAGTACTTGTAATTTTGTTGTAGTCTACTTTGTACAAAAAAAGAATACCACTGTCTCGAAAAAGTCATATAATATGATAATTTTTATGATTTGTTCACTAATATTTGCATTGTAAGTTTCTTTCTCACTAGTATAGTTTTATATGCAGCTTAACTAACCCGAAACCAACGGTAAATCATATAATTTGCAAACAAGTGAGACAGCATGGGGAAGAAATCGATACTATGGACAAGAAAGGAATTGTGAAGTCTTTGCCGCAAAACAATGAAGAACAAGTAATCAGTCTTTGTGACCTTCTACCAGAAATTTTAGCATTGATCGCAGGGAAACTCTACTTACTTGATTACATGAATTTTTGGGCTGTTTGTATGACATTTCGTTTAATAGCCTATCATTGGAAAGAAGTTTCATTTGAGTTTAATTCCAATTCTTTGTCTCCATGGCTCATGTTTTCTAAAGGCTATAGTACTATATACAATTTCAGCGATCCCAAGCTTGGTGGAAGATATTTCGTTAGCACCCCCGAGTTTCTAGTAGATTTTAAAATCTGTTACTCGAGGGGAGGGATGGTAGCTTATATCTAAAGATGAAGAATCTATGATATTCTGCAATCCCTTCAGAAAGAGCCTTATTGTCGTTAAAGAAGGATGGTATCCATGTGATATTTCTGTTTCTCACATTTGCCAACTTCACCAGATTGCGCGATTGTGGAAGATTGGATTGCATTTGTGCCTAACAACAATTCCAATTTCAAGCCGAATCATAACAGTCATGTTTACTTTGATGGAGCCTTTTATTTTCTCGGTCAGGATGGCAACCTGGGCATTTTCTTATTGAATGGATATCCTAAATGGAGGGTCCATGAAACGCCTGATTGCCCTTGTGACTCTTTTTACCACAACTACTTGGTAGAATGTGATGGAAAGCTTCTATCAGTTTTTGTTGGTTACTTGGGAAAATGGGTTGAAGTTTTTGAGTTGAATCAAAATCTCATGACTTGGGAAAACTTAACAGATTTAGGAAATCATGCCTTGTTTTTGAGTCCCCAATCTTCCTTGTCTGCAGTAGCTGATACTTCCGAAATGAAGAACAAAATTTACTTCTCTAGGATTTTTGGAAGGGACGATACTTGTTTGTTATTGTCTTGAAACAGGCTTATATCAAACTTGTGGGAGCAAGGATGTTTTAACGTCTGATTTCTGTGATACAACTGAGCACTCGTTCTCTTGCTGGATTGAACCAAAGTGGCAATCGTCTGCTCATTGATATCTCATCAATAGATTATGTTTTTCAATTAACATTTTCCTATCTGATCAGGATTCTAATTTTTGTGTGATTGATTTTTACCGTTACCCACTGCTGCTTCACTGTCAGTAGGGGTGACTATATATGCTGGAATCCTGTTGAACACAGATTGTTCAAGTTTGTTGACCTTGAAGCCATTGCCTTCTTTTGGTGTTCTTTGAGATCATGTTGATTTAGATCTGCCTTCATTTTTGTTTCTTCAGCTGACTCCAATCTCCTCCATGTCGGATAGGTCTCTTTGTAATATTATAACCCTTTAACAAGAAAGCTAGAAGACTTGTTTAAAAGGGTGATTTGAGCTATTTTTTTTTTCCAAAGTACCGCATCAGCTACATGGTTTCTATCAATGCAGCAGACAAGACAACCTATTACAATTCAGTCCTGATTGCTGACTGGTATCTTAAATTTGTGTCAGATTTTGTAATTCAAAGTATTAGAAGTTAGCTATTAAACATTAAATTAGGGTGATGATGCTTAATTATTGGACATTTTTTTTAAAAAAAGGCATTTTTATCATAATATATTAATTATTGTGATTCAACAATTATAATATTATAATAAAAAAATTATAGTTAAAATGCTTCTGTATTAAACGGTCTAATGCAGCAATTATTTTAGTGAAACCATCGAACTTAAAGCTAATTCTATAATCATATATCATATATTACATTTATTTTAGCCTCTTTAAATTTTATATATTCTTCCAAAGTTGAATCAACGAGTAGAAATCCACTTATATTAATTTAAGTATTATATTTTTTATCATTAGATCAAAATTAAATTCATAATATTTACATTTAATCATTTTAATATGTAAGTCAAAAAATAATATAACATGTGAATTTTTACTCTGGATCAATTGATTCAAAGTAAATTCAATTTGGATTAGAAAATCAAAATTTAATTAAGTTAATTTAAATAATTATTCTTGACAAATTATATTTAACAAATTCAAAATTTCAATCCCTATGCTTTTAATATTTTTTCTTATATCCAAACGGTAGGCTACTTTATAAAAAAATTCAATTTGAACTAGGACTTACTATTGAAACTGAAATACCAACTAGGATTAGGACTCAAGGTTAAAATTTTTAGAGTACAATAAAAGAGAGGGAAGCTACAAGGGCCTTCGTCAGGTTTCTCTGCCCCTGAATTGTGTTTTATTCTAAACCCTATTTCTAAAACTTTTTCAGGCTAAGTTTCATGATGATAAAGGCAAGTAGAGTGATTGAGGAAAGTCCTTTCCTGGAAACATTGGGATCGACTTATCCTTGGATTGTTTTTCCCCATTGTGAAGATCATGGAAGTCGCCAAACTTTCTGCAGCATGTCTCAGCCCTTCAAGTCTTATGGTAAGAGCACCTCAAAGTTTCGGATCAATAGAGTTTTGGGACACTCTTATGGCTGGTTAATTATATCAAGTAAAACCATCGAAAGCCCTACAATCCATCGTGAGTTTATCTTCCTGTGGAACCCTGTATCGTCAGAGTCCATCAATCTACCTCAGTTGGATTTGAAACCTGATCAGAAAATCTATACAGGCTCTTTGCTATCACCTCCAGGCAATCCAGGCTGCGTGGTGTCAGTGTTCGAGAGAGTTGTTAAATCTTTTATCTTCTGCAAACTTGGAGATAAAAAATGGACCAAGATACCTGCCAAGGAGACGGATACGGAATGCAGATCATAGATGATGAACCTAGTAATTGCAATCGCTTCCTTGGGTGTTCCCCTGTTAATTATAAGGGTAAATGGTATGCTCTTATGAGTGGGAATTTAAAGGTGATTGACCAAGTTAAGCCTAAGCATATCATGTTCAGATCATTAGATTGCAAGTTACCAAAACGCTTTTCATATTCTAATTGTGAAAATTGCTTCTTGGTAGAATCCTGTGGAGAACTTTGTGTTATAGAAAGTACATGTGGAGCGGTAAATTTTAGTCAGGCATTAAACATTGAGATTTTCAGGTTGGATTCTATTACAATGGAATGGAGTCATGTGAAAAGTTCAAAAGATAGGGCATTTTTCTTTAGCACGAACGCATCCTATGCTATTTCCTGTCCAGCTAACGAGTCAGGGATTGAAGGTGGTTTCATATATTTTACTTCGGGCACAGATAGAATCTTGTACTCCTTTAACATTGAAGATAAAAGCATCTCAACTTCTCTTCCTTGCAATAATCTTCAAGAGCCATGGTCTTCATCCTTCTGGTTCATGCCTGATTTAAGGTAAGACCTCAACATATATCTCTTGAGTGTTTATTTTAAAATAGTTATGTTTTGATTGAAAGCTCCTTGTTCACTAACATATATAGTTCTATGTACAGCACCGCTAATCCGAAAACTGAAGTCAACCAGATAATCATTAAAGAAGTAAAACAAGGAGAAGAAGAAGAAGAGGAAATAGAAATTGAAGAGAGGAAAGGCAAACAGATCCTGGAGTTTTCACCAGACAAAAGTGAAGCACAAGTAAGAAACCTCTGTGACCTTCCATTAGATATCATAGCATCGATTGCAGAAAATCTCCACTTAGTTGATTACGTCAATTTTCGTTTAGTCTGCAAAACTTTTCGACTAGTAGCCCCTCAAATTCAATGGAGACAAACTTTTAACTTAGAGTCACATTCTCTCCCTCCTTGGCTTATGTTTTCTGGTCATCAAGGTGATAGTAGGGCTCTCCACACTTTCATTGATCCAAAGCTTGGTGATAGATATTTGATGAACATCCCAAAGTCTATAATAGATTTTGATATTCGATATTCTAAAGAGGGATGGTTGCTAATGTCGTCAAAGGTTCAAGGAGACTCCATGTTCTTCTACAATCCCTTTATAAAGAAACTCATCAGTGTTCCACCACAAGCAGATTTCGAAATATACCATAGCTTTGGTTTCTCGTCTTTGCCAACTTCACCAGGCTGTATAATTGTTGGGATTTCATTGTGGTCAATTTCATACTTTAACTTTCGGGAGATGAAGAATGGCATGATGTTTGGCGAGGTGATTATCCCCATTTCATTCCAGGTCATAACAGTCCAGTTTACTTTGATGGATCTTTTTATTTTCTTGGACAGGATGGAAACCTAGGAGTTTTTTCGTTTGATCATTTAAATGATGATGATGATGCCCCTGCCTATTGGCATGTTCTTGAAAAACCCAGAAAACCTTGCAACTCTTATGATCACAACTACTTATTGGAATGTGATGGTAAGCTTTTTTCAGTATTTGTTGATAATTTGGGAAAAAGTGTTGGAGTTTTTGAGTTGAATGATGCTACAATGGCTTGGCGCAAAGTAAGAGATCTAGGATATTATATGTTTTTTCTGAGTCCCTTATCATCCTTTTCCATGGTAGCCAAGACCCCTGGAATGGAAAACAAAATTTATTTCCCCAAGATTAGGGGAAAACAAATTGTTTACTATTGCCTTACAACAGGGAAGTATCGAACATTTGGAAGCAAGCAAGTTGCAGCCAATTTCTACAATACAACAGAGTACTTGTTCTCCTGCTGGATCCAACAAAGATGGCTATAGCTACTCTTCTGAATCACTGCTCATTTTTTTCTCAGCAGATTATCTTATCTATCTATGTCTCCTGTGACTAAAAATGGGTTACTTTGCCAGAAGTTAAATGTTTTGAGAAGGATTGAAGAGCCCTGACAATTTGATATTGAGATTGGTCAATGTTTTCATTCACAATTGTAATCACAGAATTTCCTAGTTGCGCTTTCCAGGTTAAAACAAATTTTATACAATTGAAAAATTTTCCAGAACTTTGTAATCTTGTTTGATATTGCGTTTACAATCAAACGCAATTATTTATGAAATGAGCTATAAATATCAGTCATTTCATCAGCAAATTGAAACTTCATGGGATAAGAAAAGCTTTAGTTGTATGAAAAAAACTTCCATGAAATTTTATACGTGAAGTATATGTGAAGTGTTTTATTAGAAATAAGTAAATCAAAATTAAAATTAAAAATCAAAATCAATAAATTAAAAAATTTCATCACATACATCAATTATGTAAAATTTGAAAAAATTTTGATATATTTATTACATAGATATTTTTAATAAAAATATTAACAAAATTTTTTACTATTGAATAAGATAAATCAAATTTAAATTATAAATAATATTTTTAATAATATTTTATTTTCATATCAAACTCTACTAATTATCGATTTAAATTTTTTATTAAATTTTTATTTATCCATTTATAATAAAAAATTTTATAAATTTCACCTATATAATTTTTTGTAAGTTTTGTTCTTAGTGGTTTACCTTATTACATTACACTAAACTAGTTTTTCAGATTTGGTTAGTTTATACTAGCAACATATTTTCTTGTTACAAGAACATTTGGTACAACAGAGGTTTAGTGGTCTGCTTAATTAAAACGTGGTTCTCAAAACTTTTTTTTTTTTAATTTAATTTGAACTAGAGAGGCTTTTATATATTTCATAATGTGCAATTATTAAGAACATTTTGAAGTCAATTATTCTAGAAAACTAAGCTAAGCTTCCTTTCGCCAATGGGTTAAAGCTAATAGGCATACTCAAACACGATGAGGAAAAACGAATTAAAATGAATTTAATTTGGCATTAATTACTATATAATTTTACTTTATTGAGTAAAAATATCAAATGGTGACCCACTCGTGATTCATTGAAAGTAGTGATACAATCGAGTCAAATTACCTTAATACAATAAAAAATTTAAATTTAAATTTGATTTGAAATTTATTATTCAAAATTTTACTTAAATTTAATTAAATTTTAAATTTTAATTTCAAACTTGACTAAAAAATATTATTTAAACTCGAATTCATATATATATATATATAAAGATAAAGATAAAATAATAATTTTATAATTAAATTATGAATTATTTAAATTATAATTAAATTTAATTAAATAATGATCAAATTAAATTTAAATTTTATTTAAATTTAATCGATATAATATATAAATATTGATATATCATTTAGACGTTTATTTGTTTGATTAAAAAATTAAAACATGCACAAAAGAATTGAAATGAAATTAAGACTGATGAGTTGAAAATTCGTCGTTTAAGAAAAATATGTAGTTTTTTTTTAATCATAATAAAAGGAAAGGAAAATCCCAATTTCGCAATAAAAAATTTAATGTAGCCTTAAAAAAATCTCAATTAAAACTCCCTCCAAAATCTCGACTTTTTTCCTCCAAAAAAACCACGCGTCGGCTTTCTCTTCCTGTCCTAATGGCCAGCTTCGACGCTCCATCTTTCTCTCTCGGCCTCGAACTCGACGCCGATTGGGAGTCCCGATTACCGACGCGAGACCACCCCGAACCCATCTCAGCCCCGGATTCTTCCGCGAGCTTCAAGTTCAACACCTTCAAAGACAATGCTGACGAGCTCGAGTCTCCACAAGTTATGGACTCGGATCCGGATACCCGACCCGACCCTCCTCGTGTCTTGAAGCGGTTGCGTCGGGCCGCTGATAAATGTTCGGCGACGAAGCAAGAATCAGAAAAGCCGTTAGTTTGGAATGATGGGGATGATGAGATCGAAGAATTCTCTTCTTCACAGGAAAAAAATGGTACTTTTTTTTTATTCATTTAGCTGATTTTGGCTGATTTCTTCATTAATTTAGAGTGGGTTTTCCTTTTTGTCTTAGGTTTGAAGCCAAAATTTCTGGGTTCCTATTTGTTTAAAATTTTAAAATGTAATCTATATTGGGAAATTTGTGGTCCAAAGAGGGCTTAAATTGTAAAATTTTCGTTCTTGGAGATAGAAGGGATGTAATTGAAAACTAATAAAAGATTGAGGGAAGAAGGTTTTCTAAACAATTTATGAGAATCAAAAGAAAGATTAAAACTTATTGTTTAGTTATACTAATTCTGGTGATATTCTTATATTTATTATGAATTTATTATGATGAAGTGATTTTCAAAGAATTATGAAGTTTGAAATGAAGTAGAGAGAGTAAGGATGTGGATTATGAAGTTTCTTTAAGTCAGTTTACCAAAGCTTTGATCAACTTTTCCATGGAGTTTCATGAAGTGTTTATGTTAGTTATCTATGAATATGCATTTAGTATATGTGTGAGCTCTTTCACAGTTGGAGGATTATTAGCTAAGTTGATATAATTCTCATCATAATCGTAGCAACCGGAACTTGGTGTTGGTATATTCTAGATTGATGCTGACATTTTTAAGTGTATCTTTTTTAGCAGATGTGGATTCATCAATCCAATACCATTCTGTATGTAGCAGTTCCAAAATCCCATTGAAGGGACTTGGGGTTTTAACCACTCAATCATCCAACCAGTGGAGTTCAAGGAAAAAGGAACAAGCTTCCGATGCCCCAGCTTCTACAAGTATAAAGGCCAGACATGATGGATTGACATTTCCAAAATTAACTATTAGTCCTCTTCGAAGATTTCAGTTACTTGACTCAGATTCTGATGATTCCTCTGGATTCGAGAATACAGGCAAAGGAGCTGCTAAAATTGATCCACCATCACAGGAATTACAATCTACAGCCAGTGATAAAAAGAGAAAGACATCAGTTGGTGCACCTCAAAATGATGATTTATGGAAAGATTTCTCTCCAATGAATAGTTCTCATATTCCAACACCTGCTTTTGATGAGGTCTGTAAAGAATATTTTCAATCTATGAAGGATAAGAATGTAGCTCAGAAACTTGGTGGCCAGAAGGAGGAGCAACTCTGGGATTTAGATGACTCCTTACCTCCAGCACATCGCTACTTTTTCCATGCTGATCCAAGGGTCCAAAAATTAGTTTGCAGTCGCTTACCCTTCTTCTCCCCATTGGGCATGGTCAAAAGCAGACAAAATCAACAAGCTAATGTGTCAATGGTTGATTATATGTAAGTAACTCTAAAATTCATCAGTTTTTCTGTATTGAACTTCATTTTGTTAATTATGCATCATGTGCTTAATGCTGCTGCAGGAGTCAATTCAGCAATGGAGAATCTTCAAAACAGAGAGGATCTCAAAAAGATGAAGGCAAGAATTACCGAACAAGTAGAAGAAACAAATCAAAAAAATCAAGTGCCGAAGAAAGTGCCTCCGAAGGCTGGGTAGATCCAAAAAGCAGTGCAGCTATTCCAAAGAATGCTGGGAAGAGAAGGGTTCATGCTAGTGGTCAACCTGCTGGTCACTGGTATACATCTCCAGAAGGGAGGAAGGTATGTTGGAACTCTTACAGTTAAGATGTATTGCACTTTTTCGAAGAAGTCAATGCCTAACCATAAATATGCAGCCCATGCTCCTCTGAATACAACTATTTGCATTTGAAGAGATGATGCCTTTTGTTTCTATGTATCAAATAGTAGGAATAATTTTGCTGCAATTTTTTCATTTTGATAATTTCAATCTTATTCTAATCTAGTGCTACTCTGCTGCAGGTTTATGTTTCCAGGAGCGGAGAGGAATTTTCGGGTCAAATGGCCTATAGGCAATACCGGAAGGTAACTTAACAGAAACACAGTTTTACTTTTTTGAAAAATGGCCTGCCCTTAGCGAACTCTGCCATCCTTTCCATCTTTCTTAGAGGCAATGCAATAGGCTAAGGCCTATTGAGGCATTCATTATTCTAAAGACGTTTATCTTAAAGTTTATGCTGCTACTTATTTAAGTGCACTTTTCTTTGCAACAGGAGAGTGGAGCTGGCTTTAAAAAGTCAAAAAAGAAAAGCAATGCCAAGAGATGAAGGTGAATGCCTTCATATGTGGAATGTATTTTCCATTTTTTTCTTTTGTTTTTAGTGCTGTGAATGTAACATGTTTCAATGGTACTGTTTACTTTCTAATTCGTCCATTCAATGATATGGTGGTGCAATTCTAAATTTAGCATTCCCACAATTCAATTAGAAAAGATCCCATTTGTTGGAAAATGGGATGATATCAGATGAGAGGAATTTAAAGCATTTTTGATTCAGGTGCCTGTAGGATACAGAAATACACCGGTCATTGGCAACTAACATCCTTTGTAAAACAAGAGTTCCTAAAAATATAAAAGAAAATGGAGTAAGAAAAAAAGACCCCTTTCAGACTTGTATCAATGTCATTCCTCCTGTATATCTAACAAAAAGCCTTATTGTATTAGCAGGCTCTTAAATTTTAATTAACTTTCTAATATATTACTATGCCTCAAAAGGCAATTGTATATTAGCCGATTCAGGCCCCCCATAAACTGAGTTCGGATGAGGTCTTGCTCCTTGCAATGTTGAACTCAATTAATCAGTCAGCTCTTCTAATTACTGTAACTGTGAACTGTAAACTTTTCCAAAGATGTTTCATATGCATTTAACCTATACTCACTGGTCCGGGCCCTGGTTCCCTATATCCTGATGAGAAGCCTTGCGTGTCATTATATGCTCACATTTCCTGAAATCCATTAAACAAAAAGGAATAGATGACATCTAAGATTCTCTGAAGTGTAATTATTCCAACAAGCCAAAATTGAACAGTTAAAATCTGAATGAGAAGTGCAAATTAGAAGCACAAGAAAAGTACATGTTTAGATCCTCTGTCTTGTTCTTAATCTCACTTGACCATAATAGTGGGTCAATGTCCTTGGGTAAAGAATCTTGTTGTTGAGTTTTCTCTCTCAGCCACTGCTCAGCCTTATTGCACTCATTCATGATCTGAAAAACAAAAAGCCTCAATTAGTTTGATCGTGAGTAGATATTGCATTTATAATGTGTAATCACTAAATATCATACCAATTCTCTGTCCTCATTTGGCAAAGATTTTGTAGACATTCTATAATCCACAATGCACTTCAGCAGATCTCTTGAAAACTGTGCTCTTGCTTCTTCATCTTTGTATCGATTCTCAACAGGATCCACCAACTATAAGAAACAAAATTAGGCAGTGAGGTGTTGCAGAGGTAAACTTTAAGATTAAATAACAAATAATAACCTTCTTAAGAGCCTCTAATTTGGAAGTGTAAGCGCCTTCAGTTTCATCCTCCCCATCATTATAAAGCCACTCCTCTGTCTCCTGTAGGCTCCTGGAAATGCCCTCTCTCTCCTTATCAGATGCAAAACCTCGATATGTGTTGAAAAGCTTCACATAAATATATTAAAAAGTCAGCATACTGAGAAAAATAGACAGAAATAAGACACATAAGGTTCAGATCAAGTGTTTCACCTTATTTCGCATTTCATAGACATAAGACTCCAAGGCATTCTTTTTCTCTTTGGTTTGTTCCATAGTCCTGTCCTGTTGGGCCAACCTAAGCTCTTTATCTTGAGCTTCCATGAGATCAGCCTTTGTCATTGCACGACATATGTTCTCACAAACTGGTATCTCTAGCCTCCTGGTTGCTTTATCATTGGTCTTACCGTCAGCCTGCATAGAAAAGAAAAACGCAGATGAACTTGGCATCTACAAGGCTTCCATCCAGATTGAGAGAGAAAGAATTATGTGTTTGCAGGGCTAGAAACAAAATATACTCATGCCATGCTAGCAGTGTGTCCAAACTTTTAGAAAAAGTTCCAGAAAAAATACAAAATCATAGCACAGTCTTTGGACCAAGAGAAACCCGAAAGATGGCATATAAAGAATGTGATTTAATGGTGATACAAACTTACAGAAGCATGTGATGGTTTGGACTGAACAGAGGTACCATCTTCACTGCCATTTATTACATGCTGGGCCTCCTTTGTGCTCATTTCTGAATGTGTATTATTCATTGTCACCGAATCATCTACATGATCTTCTATCAACTAAAGGCAAAATCTCTTAGAAATTGAATATCAAAAAGGTGATAGAAGAAAATGTGAAATCCTACTAACCATAGCTGACTCAACGGTGACAATGCCATGAAGGTTTAATTGAACTTTGACTTTAACCCTTGCCCTTTTGCTATGGGAGCCTTGGAAAGGACCAATCTGCAAAACCAAATGATCATCAATCAATAAGCGAGTCTATTCCCTTCATACAAGAAAAATCCATTTAAGGTGGACATACTGTGAAGCAACTTATGTTTGAAGGTACACCAGAAGGCAGTTCATTTGGATTAGCATAGAATGCTTCCAAATGGAACAAACTACTTCTCTGTAATTGCAGAACTTTAACACTTGGAATTGGCTGGCCTCTAGGAAACAACATTCCATTTGACCCTTGGGAAATTGGGATTTCATCTGAAGAGAATCTTATGGAGAATGGAATGCAATCTTGAACCTACAAAAAAATGACAAGGGAAATAGCCTTTACCATACTCAAGAATGCATAAAAATAACCAAAAAAAAAAAAAAAATCCCCATATGGCCCTAAAACATGCAGTGGTTAACCCTTGGATCTGTTGTTATATCAATGAGTTTGCAAAAGTTGCAGTAAACTTTTGGGCTCCATATTATTACCATACAAACATGCTAAAGCTAGTAAATAAGATGCGAACAAAAGAAAGAACCATGTTGAAAGCAATTATTTGAAGTAGTACACGGAGTTATACTTCTGACCCAGTTACAAACCTCGTAATCTCTAACCCGAAAAACTGGACTGAGCATTGCGCATTGGAGAGCACATCCACGTGCCACACACTCACTTGCATTTATTGTCCGACTAGGTTCTCTCCTAAAGAGAGAAGCTAACTGTCTTGTTATAGCTGGTATTCTAGACCCTGATCCAACAAGCTCAACAGCATGGATTTTCTCCACAGTTAACCCTGCATCAGTTATAGCTTTTGTACAAGGAATGTTAATCCTCTCCAACAACCGGGAAGCCAACTTCTCAAATTCCTCCCTCCTAATGAAACCTTTGACATCCTTTTCATCCATCAAACACTCAATATTTAGAGGTACCTCTGCATTTGCACTCAAAACCTTCTTCAGTTTCTCACATGCTGCCCTTAGCCTGATTGAAGCCCTGATATTAGAATACACATCTATATTATACTGCTCCTTGAAATGTGCAGCAAAATATCCAAACAAAATCTCATCAAAATCCCTTCCGCCCAAGCTGCTATCAAAAGCATGTGATAGTATTCTCATGTGTCCAGCCTCAAACGACACAATTGAGACCTGGGTGTTGCAATGACCAATATCAACAAATGCAACATAAGTTGGGCCAGCAACGGAGAAATCCGTTTTGTAAATCCCATAACCAAGTGCAGTTGCAGTACAGTCATGCAACAATCTCAGAGGCTTCAGCCCGGCAATTGTAGCAGCATCCAGGTATGCACGTCTTTGCAAGTCAGTGAAGTAAGATGGGATCCCAATAACACAATCCAAAACAGGAACACCCAAATTTGTCTCTGTTATATATTTCAAATGTGCAAAGAGCATTGCCATAATCTGCACCGGCGTGAATCTATGTGTCTCACCTAAATACATCAAGTGAATCAAAATGCCACCATCCTTACCCTCTGAAGTTTCAAATGGTAACAATCTTAACTCATTCTGAACATCAGGTTCCTGAAACTTCCTACCAATTAACCTTTTCACTTGAGATACCGTAGTTTTGGGGTGCTTCATAGCAGAGGCAGCACCGGCAGAGCCAATGAACCTTTGCTTTTCCCCGAAGCATACCACAGATGGCGTTTCACGGTTCGATTCATCATTCAGCAACACATCAACACCCCTTTGCTTTACAGCAGCAATAACACATCTCTCATTTCCAATATCAAAACCTACAACACTCATTTTCAACTCACCAAAAACAAGACTTTTATCCAAAACCCACCAAGGAAAAACAAAAACTTGATTGAATCAAACTCTAACAACCAAATCGCATTAAAATTCTCAAAGTTTCCTTCTTATACCTCAAAGCATCATACCAAAAGCTACAAAGAAGAAAACCAACATTAAACCATTAACAATTTGCTTAATTTCTAAGACAAAATTAACTAACAAAACAAAAATAAAATAAATTTTTTGTCTTTTCAACATTGAATTCCAACAAAAAAAAAAAACCAAATTTGAAACTTTTTTGCAATATTTTTTTCCAGAGAAAAACAATGCCCCAAGACCCAATTTTCCATTTTCGTTCTATTTCTTCAGAAACCAAATAAAATCAATATCTTTAACCAAATTAATGAGAACCCAAACCCACAAATTTATAAAGAAACAAAAAGTATTAGCTTTAACTAAAGGGAACCGTAATTTACCTGATAGAGGAACAATCTGTGAACTGTGATAAGCATAAGAAGAGAGAGAAATTGAAATTGAAACTCAAATAAATTGAAAGAGGAAGTGCAGATTGTATAGAGAGAAAATCTCCGATTTGGTCGCTTAGTTTAAGACAAATAACCAGCTTTTGAAAAATGAAAATTTTTTTGCACGTTGTACGTAGGGATGAAAATGCAGATCTTTTGGGGGCTTTTTTGAAATTAATGATTTTTTATCCTTTTGCCACCTGTAAGATTTTCGTTTTCTTTAAAAGATAATTTTTTTAATGAAAATAGAAACAATTTTGTATTTATATTATTTTTTCTAATTAATGCTTTTTTCTGCCTTTGCAAAAAAAAAAAAAAATAGTGAAAATGGAATTTTGTATTTATATTAAAATAGTTTTGGTTAAGAGTCGAGTTATCCGTTCCATTCAAAAGGTTTGTCTAAGTTGGAAGAAGGATTGGACAGAAAAAAAAAAATTTATTAAATGAATTTAAATATAATTTTTAAGTTTGTTTAATTTTTGAATTAGATCTTAAACAAAAAAATTAAAATTTAGTCCAAATAAATTATATATAATTAAAATATTATAATTATATAAATATATATTTGTGAATTTTTAATTTTTTATTATATAAATTAAATTTAATATGTGAGTTTAAATTTTATTTTTAAATTATACTAAATTTAAAAAAATTTTGAAACTCAAATATTAGATCGAACAAAATTTAAATAAATATATAAATTATTAATATTAAATATAAATTTGATTTGGTTCAATTCATAAATATTTTTATATTAAAAAGAAGAAGATAAAATAATACAATAGTATGAAAGATCATTTAAAAGGAAAAATTCAGTGAAATTAAAATATTAATTATATTTTGAGTATATTAATTATATCAAGTCTTATATTTAAGTTTTACAATTTTGATTTATGAACATAATATAATATTAAATAATCAATTTATATTTTATTTTAATTCTAATATATAATAAAAAATATTATTTAATTATAAAATTTAAGATATCAATCGAATTTAATCCGATCATTATCAATAATAACAACGAAAAAAGTCTTCTTTTTAATTAAATTTTGATGCAATAAATTCAAAAAAAATCTCGTAGAAGACATCGGTTTCATATATATATCATATGGTATGACATGAAGAGCTACTGTTCTTATATACCAATGTCATAAATGTACCAAAATTGTCTTTGTTTTGACCTGTTTTATTCTTTCTTTTTTTTTTTTCCATAAAAAGAACCTTCCTTTCCCCGTTTTTCCACAGCTTCTTATCTATACAAACACAAATACAAAAAAGCCGTCATATTTTCTTGAACTTTCTTTCAAAGTTCACAGCTTTAAGGTAAAAATCTCTGTTGGGTACTGGTTGAAACCACAAACAAACTGAAAAATGTTACTGGGTTTTTTTTTCCACTTTTTTTTTTATGTTTGGTTGCCAAGAAAAATACAACAAGACGAGCTGAGGAAGTCTATGGTTTATGATATTTAAACTCTATCCAACTAATCCAAAGATTTGTGGACTTGACTTGTCTTTTTTTTTTTTTTTTTTTGGTCAAGAAACCATAGATTGAAACTTAGTGCGGTATATCTTAATCCCATTCGTCTCAGCTAATACCGGAGAAACAAAGTCTTGAGCAATAGTGACTGTGGACATGACTTGTTGCGGATACGATTCTTCGTTTGTTTGTTTTATTGGAAACAGGTGCCAAATGAAGAAAAACTTAGGCTGTTGTCTTTGTCTTTGACTTGTTTCATTCTTCCTTGACTCCATTTCCAAGTTTTTCCAAAGCTTCTTATATATACAAGCACAAATACAAAAAACTGTCATATTTTCTTGAACTTTCTCTCAAGTTTCACAGCTTTAAGGTAAAAATCTTTGTTGGGAACTTGTTAAAAACACGAACAAACCGAAAATTGTTTCTGGGTTTTTTGTCTTCGCTTTTTTCTTTTTGCTTGGTTGCCAAGAAAAATAGTTTATAATACATAAACACTATCGAAGCCCAACTGATCCAAATATATGTGGACTTGCTATGGATTACTTCTTTTTTTTTTGGTTAGTTTGTTTGTTTTCTTGGAAACTGTCTCCAAAAGAAGAAAAATTCGAGGTTGTGATTCCTGTTTTTCTTCTGTTTTCTGTGTATCCAATTTCAAACACAAGAGTTATCCGCTTTTCATGATTGGTTTTGGTTTTTCATCTTTTCTCTTATTGACCCTTAATCGGTGAGAGCTGTTAGCATTGATTTATACTGTGATTCTTGCTTGATGTTTTTCTCTGTTACTTGACTGAGAAAATTGCTGGAAAGAGAAGGAATCTAAATTTTGAAGTATTTGTATTTGTTCTTCATTTAGTTTTTAGTGAAACAGAAATCCTAGAATCTGATTGAGACTGATTGGAAATCTTTATTTTTTCAGCTTTCTTGTAGTCAAGTATTGGTTTGATACAATGTTTAATTTGTTAATTTTCTGAAGATGTTTTTTAAAATCAAATGATTTCTTATTAAAAATGTTCTGTTTTTGCCTTGTTCAGGGTAATATCTTCTTCAGTTTGATCAAAAACTTGCCTTGACTTGGGCCATTGATTGATGGAGAACACTGAAACTGGTTCCTTTTTGAGGAACAGAAGATTAGAGAGCTTCCTTGATAAAAATTCTGGTCCCAATGTGAAAAAAACACTGAAAATTTCGAGCAAAGAAGTAGCAAGGCAGAGGCCTACAACTGATGCTTTTGTTGATGATGATGGATGGATTTCTACACTGATATCTTGTGTAAGGCTTGTTACATGTTTCCTGACAATGATGGTCACAACAACCATTTGGACAATAATCATCCTGTTGCTCCTTCCTTGGCCTTCCCAGAGAATCAGGCAAGGAAATATTTGTGGCCATGTGACTGGTAGATTGATGGTAAGCTTGATTTGATTCCTTGTTTCATTTTAGTACTTGCTTTTCTTGACTGTTCTACAATTAGATGGTCATGACATTGGTTTTTTTAACTTTTTGGTATATCATGAGGAAGTGATTATTAGAGTTTCCCGAGAAAGTTAAAGGAAAATGTTAAAAATTTTATCTTTTCAGGTCTTTGAGAAATTTGAAGTAAGCCAACCAACTTTTTGTTTTCTTGGGGATCTAAATGGTAAAATAGACAGGCAATAGTTTTGTTATGAGTGACCTGGTGAAGTTACCATATGTGTTTTCTGTTCTCACTTCTCAGCAACCAAACAGTTTATCATACAAGTTTTTTGACTGCCTCTTACTGCTTGATTTTTACAGTTTACAGAGAAGGATGTAGTCAGAAATATGCTACTCTTTATTGTAATTAAGAACTCTTTCAGAAGTTTTTTACTTAGGATGTTAATTTTGATGCTCAAAGAGAATCCATATCTCTAAGCAAAATGTTATAAAATGATGATTTGGGTTTGCAAATGATTGCAGATGTGGATCTTAGGAAATCCTATAAAGATTGAAGGAAAAGAGTTCTCCAATGAGAGAGCCATTTACATCAGTAATCATGCATCTCTAATAGACGTTTTCCTCGTTATATGGTTGACTCCAACAGGGACTGTTGGCATTGCAAAGAAAGAGGTTCATTCTCACTCTGATCTCTCTTTCCCTTTTGTGGCTCATTAGTGGTTTAAGCTCTATCAGAATTTTGATATGAACATAAATTGTTATGACCTGTGGAACTTACCAACATTCAGATTGGATTGTGCTCCAACCTGGTGATACATTACGCGAACTTTGCGCAAGGTTTTTATAGGGACAGAAATTGCATAAGCTGTTAAGTCCATGTTGCCTTGGAAAATTTACATATATATGAAATTTTGTTTGTTTTACGCAGATCATATGGTATCCCCTATTCGGACAACTATATGTTTTAGCAAAGCATCTCCGCATTGATCGATCAAATCCTAGTGCAGCCATTCAGTCCATGAAAGAGGTATCCCTCCCTACCCTATATCATCCACCATGCATTTTGTTAATGTTACTATGTTATGTTCTTCTCTTGGTCAGGCAGTTCAGGCTGTCATAAAACACAACCTGTCTTTGATCATTTTTCCTGAGGGCACAAGGTCCAAAAATGGACGACTTCTCCCCTTTAAAAAGGTAATTTTCAAACCATATCTAACATATGTTATTATTCGTGTGATCTGTTGATTCCATTGTTTATTCTCTGCACTTCTTACCACAGCAATCTTCTTTATTTCCTTTCCTGGTCTGCATTGCAGGGTTTTGTTCATTTAGCCTTGCAGTCTGGCCTTCCAATAGTTCCAATGGTCTTGACTGGTACTCATCGAGCATGGAGGAAAGGTAGCTTGCATGTCCGACCGGCTCCTATATCTGTAAAATATCTCCCTCCAATAAGAACTGATAATTGGACGGATGACAGGGTTGATGACTACATTAAAATGGTACATGATATATATGTCGAAAACCTCCCTGAGCTTCAAAAACCTGTTGTATCCGAAGACACCAAGAACAGTTCCAGATCATAATTTAAGACGCCTATGTTTTTGTAATTCTAGAGTCCTATTCACACCCATGTTAAATGCAACAATAAGCCTAGTTGAACCTTTAAATCTTCCTTAAAAAAGTATTTTCAAGGTTTTTCTGAATGTGTTCACTTATAATTTATATATGATGAAATTATCAATTTTGTCTGACAAAAAAGAGTATCTTTCCTTGGATCCATCACTGTGTATAATATTGTTAAGACTCTAGCAATTGCCAGATCAGGTTCAATAGGTTTTGGAATTTTCAGCCATGGACATGGGAGTGATCCATGGCAGGTTTTCAGTGGAAGCAACTATAGAAAATGTGCATAGCAGTTGAGCACAAGCACAAATTTATGGACTTTCCCTTCTTTGAACTTCTGATGATGCAAGATAATGCTTGCATATATCAGAAATGTGTTTGATTCTTCCTCATCTACCAGACCTAGATTCTGACTTCATTCCAACAGGAACTTGCTTTCTATATTCATAATTTATTTGCTTTTTCCTTCTTTCGAAGAAAAAAAAAGTGGGGACTCTGAAAAATTCATAAAGGTTACAAAGTTGACTTGGGCTATGGTCACCAATTCATTAAAGCAAGTTGGCTAATAATTCTTTTTTAACTTTACCACACCCAATGTGTTGCATTCCCCTAAGCACAAATGAAATATTAGAGTCTTCAAATTTTGAAGAAAGGTGCTCTTTTCATCAATAAAGGCTGGCATTATCAATCCCACCCCCACTCTTCTCGAAATCCAATGGTGTTTGGAAAAATAATTAACATTATTAATAGTTTTCGAATTATAATAAAATATTAAATATAATATTTAAATTTTAAAATTTAAAATTTAATGAATAATTTTTTAAATATAATATTAATTAATAAATTTATAATTTAAATATCATATTAAAAATTTTTAAAATTCAAATTCTTTATTAAACATTTCAAATTATTCATGTGTTAACTCATAAAACAATTAGCAAGTAGGACTATTAATTATCTTCTTGAGAGTAACAAAGATAAAAAAAATATATTTAAGTTAAAAAATAATAAAAATATCTATACTCTTACTAAAAAAATAATATATTAATTGGCAAACTGCCAAAACTTCAACTATTTGGAGGTGACAAATGGGACAAATTGGACACGTTTGGGTTAAAATATTTCGTGTATTAGGTTACGTGAAGTTTGAATTTTTCGAGGTGGAGTTAATTTGATTTCAAATTCTTTTGGTATAAATTTTTTTAATTTAATTTCTTCTTTAAATTTTAATATTTTTATTTTAGATTAAATTTAAATTTAAGTTAGCTAAATTATTTAGATTTGAGTTCCAATCTTTTATATTTGAATAAAATTTATATTTGAACTAATTAAATTATATTTAAATTTTTCACAAAATATATTTATTTCAACATATTTTTTAAATTGGAAGAAATTTTGTTGAATTAATATATTCAAAAAGTGAATTAATTTAAATTCAAAATTTTTAAATCAAGTGTTTTAATTTTTTTTTATTGTATTAGATTTATTTATTTTTTTTATAAAAATAAATTTAAAGTGGATAAATTGTTCAGTCTTTCAAATTATGATAAGATGTATCGTATTTGATAGCTTAAAATAAGTAATTACAGATCATGTATTTAAGATGATCTCAACAAATAATCACTAATAAAACTCGAACTTAAAATTTTTTCGTCAAAAAAAATAAATTTTAACAGATTAAACTAACTACTTATTGATTAGATTTAGGTGAATTTTGAGTTTGAATTTTTGTATCATAACTACTTAAATTCAAGTTTATTTTACCACATGTTTAATAGATTAATAATATATCAACATCAAATGTTCATGTGATGAAATCTTTAATTTATTAATTTTAATTTTAAATTTTATTTAATTATTTCTAATAAAAAATTTTACTGTCTAATCTTTTCTCGATTAATATTATTTAATTTATTTTTCCTAAACTCGCCAACTAGCTCTCTTTAGGGACCCAACTTAGCCAACATGTCCGTCCCACATCACAAGATACATCACTGATCGGCCTCATGAATGACACATCCAACCATTGAATACCACGTGTCAATATCAATAGTACCCATGTTTCTTACACATGGCATTTTTTGTTGCTCCGTGATATGGTCCATACAAACAGCAATGTTACTTTATCTCTCCTCACGACCAAAACGCTCGGCTCCCACGCCTCGCCTGAGATAAACAACAAAAGTATAATCGAAACAAATAACAAAAAAATGATTTTTCTCAAAAATATTTTCTCTTAATCAAAGTTTTAATTTTTCTTAAACAGCTAAAGGAAAAAAAAAAAAAAAACCCACAGAAACAGACACCATGAAAAAAGGTCAGCTGTTTTCTTTTAATCCCTAGCTTCATGTTACTTTGTAAGAAATCTAACCTTTCTTGTAAATTTTAAGATTTTTGTCTTGAAAAAATTATGGGTTTTAAAGTTTATTTCTTTTTGTCACAAATTTTTTCACTTCCCTTTCTTTTCTGGGTTTTTTTTTAATTTTTTATTAACTTATGCTTTGATTGATGCTTGTTGCAGGGTTTTCCACTTGATTGAAGTTGTTGAAAATGCTGTGAAAAGGTCTACTCTTTTCACTTCTCTTGATAGTAATCATGGAATCTTTATTTATTATAATTGGAAATTTTGGTTTCAATGGTTTCTTAGTGTTTTATTACTCTTCTGACTCGTATGTTAGGCTTTTCTTCTTTGGTTCTTTGTCCAGTATTTTTTTGCTCTTTGAATTTCTCTATTTTATTGTCACTGTGCATGTATTGTATGTATGGAAATTTGTTGTTTTTATGGGATACAGGCTCATTTATTATTATTATTATTTTGTAATTATGATTTAGTTTTTTCAGTAAATTAATGTGAAGGTTGTCTCATAGATTGCATGCATGAGGTGAGTTTTTCTGTTTGGGGTAAAAAATAAAATATTGCATGAAGCTTTGTTATTAATTTTATATGCAATCAGTGTTTCATAAATCCCAGAAAAGAAACACATTAATGGGGTTTATCTTTAGTCTTTGATGAATCGAAGGCCAGGGCCAGATCTATATTGTGTTGTTTTCATCAAAATCACAAGTCCTTTTAAGTAAAGTTTGAATTGTTAGAACAGTTTAAAACTTCTTGAGTTTAATGTGTACTAATCCCAATGAATAGTTAAGGTTATGTTAAAAAAGGTTTTTATGGAAGAGATCTTTTTCATTTTTGGGAAAATATTAGGGGTTATTTTTTTGTCATAGGAACACAAACGATAGATTTGTATTGAAATATGTTCAGCCATGATTGCTTGCGTTTTAGTCATATTGTAATTAGTTAATTTAACGTGTTGGCCATGATTACGAGTCATGTTGCTTTGCAGGATTTATATATATTGCATGAGTATTATTGATATCCACATGCCCTATGTTTGACAAAATACATGCTTGTGACTGCCCATTTTATCCAGCATTAGCTCCATAGCTTCATTAAAGAAGGTACATGATTGTTGGTAGGGAGATTCCGTTAGGGGAAGAGTTTCTTTGTCAACCTTGCTGTTCATATTGCCCATTTAATAGAGAATGAAGTTCAAATGAGTTGTTTTTAAGTCTATCTGCTCCACTGCTCTTAAGTCTGAGAGCTTTCTTTTTACCAATTTCTTTTTTCTTCCCTCATCTGCTATGTTTAGTTCAAACAAACTCGTGGTACTAGCAAATGTTGCATTATGACTAGCATTATTGATTTTTAGGGTATAAGTATAGAAACAACAATAGCTTTATAAAGCTTATAGATTTTGTTGTCTTTTTCTCCTTTTCCGACTAAATAGGAAGAAAAATAGATCAGTCACTTGGATTTGTAAAAGATTAAATTTAGCCTGTCACAAATTCCCTTTTAATATATTATATATTGGTTGGTTGTTGATGAGTTTTTCAATCTGCTAGTAAATGGTACAATGACTTCTCTGCTGTGAGTGTGTCCAACATGGCCTTAATTTTAACCTGCAGTTATGTTGACAAGTCAGCATTCTTGCTTGACGGTTTATGAAGTTGAATATTTGCCATTTAACATGTTGGTTAAACTCTGTTGTGCTTTTTACCAGCTTGGTTATATAGACTATAATATAGCTGCCCTTTGTCTTCCAGGAAGGAAACAGTTTTAAGATCTGTGGAAAAGGCAATTTCTTTGCAGCAAATACTATGATGAATCAAGACAATGACCCAGAGGATAACCTTGATGCATCAGCAGATGTTCCGCTGAAGCGCAAACGTGGTCGTCCAAGAAAATTTCCAAAACATAATCTAAATCAGGGGGAGACTATTCAGACTCCAAACCATGCCGAGAATACCCATATCCCACCTGGATATGAGGGAGTGAATGGAAATCAACCTCACCAAGCTAATCCAATCAATGATTCGAATGATGTAATGGTGGGTCAGGCTGTTTATGGTGTTATTGAGGCAGCATTTGATGCAGGATATTTGCTCACTGTTAGAGTTGGCAACTCTGACACCACTTTAAGGGGTGTGATTTTCAAGCCTGGGCATTATGTTCCTGTTTCACCAGAGAATGATGTAGCTCCTAATGTTCAAATGATCAGAAGAAATGAGATTCCCTTCCCAAGGGAGAGGAATGAGCAGCATATCAATTCTCATAGAATTGGATCTGCTCATCCATTCAGTGAACCAGCTGTAGCCAACCAGGTGCCACGAGCCCGGGCTTCAAATCTTGGAGGCTCAAAAAGAAAACATGTGCAGTTGGTGACAACACAATATACTTCTCCTCTAATGTCCAGAGGCAGTGTGGTGCCTGTTGTGCTCAAACCTGCTGGTTTACCGAACGGTGAATCAGTTGCCGACCAACCTTCTGTGGTTGCAAGCCAACCTACTCATTTGGTGGCCTCTAAAGGTAAACAGGTGTCTGAAGCCTCCGATACATCAAATGGTGCAGCACCCACCAACCAGATGCCAACAGTGGGAAACCAAATGCTTCCTACTCAACCCCAAAGTGGTAACCACACTGTGCCAAAAGGCATACAAAGTGAAACTGTTTCATTTAATCAACCCCCAGCAGAGGTTTTGCAGGAGAAGGAAGCCAAGTCAATGACTGGCATGCCTTTTGAGAAACTATTAACTGAAGTCATGAAAAGAATTCAAGTCCCCTCCCAACCATTGGATGCTCAAGGTGGTAATTTGACTGTCAAAAATTCTGGACATAACCAGGAAGATGATCAGCCACTCTCTATTGAACCACTACAAGCTGTACAGCCTGCTCACTCTTCTGTGCTCAAACCTGAAAATTTTAGAACTGGCAAGATGACTGAGCTGTTGCAGGTATGATAACTTTGAACTAGAATTTAATTCCATATTGAGTAATCCATTATACACCTGAGGTTTGACGTAGACTGATATACTGCACTTCTTTTCAAGGCTGTTCAAGAAAACATGAGGGAAAACCAAGCATCTCGGACTGAAGAGCCAGCCATTGGTTCCGGAGAAACTGAGCTTGGAGATTAAAAAATGCATTATTCCATTTAAGTATTCACAGGTTTCAAGTATCGAATTCAACAGGCATTGTTACTAGCAGCTTCTGGGCTAGCTCACATGTTGTAGAGTGTTTTAGTTGAACCAGATAGACTATGTAAAATGTTTTCGATCCTAAACTAGGTGAAGGAGCTTCCTTGAAGGGTCTGCATGGGATCTTCTTTGCTCTAACCCTTAGGATCAGAACTGTTTCCATTACTTAGAATTAACGCTTAATTTCACTTCATAGATTTATAAAAACTGTCATAACTTAGTATATGACGCTAAACCCAAAACCTTGTTAAATGTATGCGGCTTCCTTATGATCATCCAAGAGTCAAGTATGTGCTACAGTCAAGCATATTACGTGGGAACTAAATGTCTCTGAATGAATCTTGAATCATTAGTGACCATGGATAAGTGGTAAAAAAATGGAGAATGTTTGCAAATGATCAATGATGTCCAACAAGGTTATTATTTTCTAGAACCCTGCTTGTTCAAGGATTCAGGTTGACTCGTGCACTGGGTTAAACCTTGCCATACATAAGCCTTCATTCTTCTACCACCTTATCATTGATTGACTGTCACCTTGCTGTCATCACCTTAGTGAAACACAAATCTTGATTAGAATGTTTACCGTCACGTTGATTTTTTTTTTTCAAAAAATGGAAAAATAGTAGAGAAAAATGAAATCATGATTTTCCCTTTCATCTTTTTTCTCTATATTTTTCATTTTCTGTCGTTTTTAGTACAGAATATATCATGTTTTTCATCATCAATTAACCAGAAAGAATGGAAAAAGGAATAACCCTTGAATGATGATAAAACAATGAAACTGACTCAAGGCTGGATGCTCTCAAAAAATGAAACTTTATAGGCCAAAATTTTTATTATCTTCAAACAAACTGAAACAAAGGGTAATACTAACAAAGTAACATATTTTCATGGAAGCTTTGTGCTAAAGAGACCACTAGATCCTGGGACTTGTATGGGACGATTAGCAGGGAAGGGAGGCTGCATATATGGAACGTGGCTTGGCACTGCCAATGGTTGCTGTCCACCGGCAATGAAAGGTTGAGGTACACAAAGCTGCAATGCTTGGCCTGGTGCACTTCCTGCATTCACAAGGGGTGGCTTGAGAACAAAATAAGGTTGCACTATATATCAAGAAGACAATAATTGGGTTATAGCCACGATTGCAGTACTGCAAAGAACAGTAAATCCTGCTATGAGATCGTGACAACTAATAAGGTTACTTTGTTCTATTCAACAAGGACAAATGAAAACTACACAATACACATGCAAATACCTTGGTGTTTTGGCAATTGGACATGATGCGGAGTCAAAGGAGGACGTGCAGGTACTGGAGAGATAGCTGCTGCACCCTGAACCAAATCCTTCAATGAAATAAAAAAGCAATTTAGTAATGTAGTAATAAAACAACAGTTCTCTCCTTGAATACAAGAGTGCATCTTTGCAGTATGCCATTTTCTTTATCTGTTTTTTAATTAACTCACATGGCCTCACTTTAGTCACATTGGCAACATTGTTTGCCTGGGAGGGAAAAATCAGTTATCATATTTAACTTACATCAATAATGGACAGGTGAAAGTAAATGAAATTGATTCTTTAGGTAACGGGGGAAAAGGAAGAGGAAAAAGACAATGAAAAAGTAAGATGACTAGACAATTCATCAGCTATGATTGTCCTGATCAAATATTGTAAACTCATTTGTCCTAACACAGCATATATGAACTAGTAAGTTGCTTATTGTATGTATTGCTCTAAGGGGATGCATCACAAGATTTATCCTACCACATCCTAAATGTGGATTCTACAATGCTGCTCTTACGAATCTCTAGCAAATGGTACACATTTTGTTCTATACAGTAGAAATTCTCATGTCAGAGTGCTTTAATGATAATAAGGCCAATTCATTAATTTGCAGGTATCACATCTTACATGAGAAACAGGCACACAAATAAGCTGTCCCAATCGTCCAAACATAACCTAGAGAAAGAAAGGGGTAGACAAAGAAAGATTAGTAACTCATAAATGACCACTACATCAGCAAATAAAAGTTAGAAAGTATCATAATTCCTGCCCCATCTATGCAGGCATAAAAGGAACCAAAACGACATAGTGATGAAAAGTTCCTTCTTTTGCTTACAGCTTGAGAATTTGGAGTCAAATATGCTGGTGCAGCCTGAACAGGATGATATTGACCAGCATATCTAAGTGGCTGCGTTCTACTCCCCATCTGCCCAACAATCTAGAGCCAAAAACAAAAATGAAGTTAGTAATATAATCAGAACTACAAATAATTCACAAATAAATACAGTAATAACTCTCTAGTCATTATAAAGTTGACATGATAATCATATGAAGATTCAAACAGGCTACAGCCAAATGACACCAAAATGGTTCGTCACTCTTGGAATTCGAGCAATTCTTCATTGAAAAGGAAATAAATTAATATTGATGAAATTGCTTATGGTTTAAAGAGAGTAATGATGTGTGTGTATAACTTGAAGGATCTCAAAAGGCAGCAGAGTACATTTTCAAGTCCTTTGAGGAAGATTTTTGGATGATATAATGAGAATTATAAAAAGAGAAAGGAAATGAAGGGAAAATGGGGAGGATGCAATGGGGTAAATGTGGTCCTATAGGCAGTCCAGTGTAGATATCATGGAAATAAAAAAGATCTAACTTTAAGATTAATGAAATACAAAAGCCCATAGAACACGTACGGGTTGGGAAAATTGAGAACCACTGACACCAGTTGCAGCTGTTACATTGCCATAAGAGACAAACTTAGAAGAAGCAGATGTACGAGGTGCAAAAGTGCTGATCTCAACATCTGGCTGAGAACCAGCAAGAGCTACCATAGGAGAGTTTCCTGGTATGTAAGACACATTTGCTACTGCTGGTACTATTGGAGGAGCCGCCGATATGGCACTTGCATAAGATGGAGAGAAAATTTTTGCTCCTGGATTAAGCTTAAATTCCTGATAAAAGAAATTACATTAAAATAAGAAACCATCAACATGGACAGAGAAGATTATGTTATGATAGCCACTTGAAATCTTGTACCAATAGTGGTAACTAAGATAACTAACTCATCAAATCAAAGTATAAGCTGCTACCAACTTGATGAAACATATAAGTATGGGGCTAGCATATTGAGGGTGTAATATTAAGGCATCAGCAATCTCATTACCAATCTCTCATTATATAGACATTCAAACAATTTTAAACAAAGAGAAAGGGATCCACCACCATTCTGTCTGCTTGTTATTACAAGTCAAATCTAATATGGCTGTTTTACCTTGTAGTTTTTATTTGATTCTGAACTTTGTGGAGGGACTATGGCAGTTGGAGTAGCAAATGAACTCTGGCATGATTCTGAGGGAACATCAGTAACTGGACTAGTAGAAGTTGAAACTCCAGAACAAACAGCATCTTGGTAAATTTCTGTTGCAGTTGGCTTTTCACAGCATTGATTGTCAAGTTTACCATCCATTGGAGTATCATGAGGTGCTCCACTAAGCAACAACTTAGTTGTCATCTCGGTGTTTCCTTCCTCATCAGGTTTTACTTGAGTAAGGCAGGCATCCACTGCAAAATTTAACAGTAAAACAGATCGAAGAATAGACACATATTCAGGCTTACAATAATGGTGAAAACTTATGATACTACATAATAAATCACAGCATAATCTACCAAGAAAATCTAGATAGCATTCCCCCCATTTGGCAGGGAGACCATCTTAAGTGTATTTCATCATATAAAAAGGTTGTGTTAAGAATATTAATGATCAAAAGGTGGCAAGGCTCATTTTTGTAGTTTTTCATATCACGTGCTAATGGTTATGCAGTGACCAAAAGTGTAAACTTCCTTAACCAGTTCTCTGACATAACAAGGCTGAAACCTCAGTGTGCACAAAGACACCAATATACAACTCTTCACCTTAAAACTACGGTTGACAATTCAAAAGACCATTAACACAGCGAAACTTTCACATCTAAGACGAGGCATGCCATTCAATTTAGAGGAGATTCAGATAGTTTGAAACCTGGCTTAAAAGTATCAAGAGCAGATGACTCGCGGCTTGAAACTGAGTGTTGAACTTCCTTGGCCTGCAGAAAACAATTTCATTAGTGAGTGAATATTAGTTTTAATTGTAGGTTTATGCAAAGAAAATAGGTAAGCTTGTCATGGCTTACACCCTCTTCCACATGAAAATCAAACTTTCGGTCACATTCATCCTGCAAAAGTTGTGACATATCATCTCCAACCTGTCTGTCAGAAATATAAATGACAGGAATCTGAGAATAAGAAAGATAAAATGTTGCTGTACATATGAAAATATCAAAAAGTCATATATTGATATAATGTTTTGCACACGTGGAAGGAATCTGACATGAATATGATGTTGGCCAAGTTACATATATCCAAAACAAACACAAGGTAGGGTGTTCAAAATGCAAATTTCATTTCTTTTCTTTAAGCAATGAAATGAGAAATTATATTTGTAAAAACCAAAGCTGGGGCCTGGATGGAAAGGACAAAGAGAAAACCAAATAGAAGCAATATTTTTTATACTAACATTCATAAAGCAATTTCTACATTGTGGATGACCATATTGCTTTAAAATTTTTCCTTAACCTCATGTAAGAGATGTTAATGTAATTTCAGAGTCCTTGTTTGTAAACATTATAAAGAGAGAATAAAAACAAATGGGATAAGTTAAGTAGACACTTTTCTCCTTTTTGGGAATATTACGAGTAGGAGACAAGTGAGTCAAGTTCCAGCTAGGTGAGACCAACTCCAGCTCTTTGACTTGGCTTTAATCTAGTTGTTTTTGTTTCCATGTTCATGGCTAAACATAGATCTTTCAACTAGAAAACGGCTTTTTTTTTTTTTCGGCCAATACCATGATTTGAAATTTAGTGTGGCACTTGACCAACACGAATAGTTAAGGAAAAGCCAGTAGTGTACCTCCCAGCTATAGTGGCACCAAAAGCATCTTTGTCCTGCATTGCAAAAAGAAAAAAAAAATTTGAAAAATTTTGAAAGAGAAAATGATGAAAAGTGCATCAACACTCTCTGCCAATATTTCCCTACAGAATGTATGTTATTTTCAAACTGATTCCTTTACTTTATGGTTTCCTTGAAGAAAACACCAGCCCGTCAGATGATCTAAGCAATATGATTGGATCTTCCACAGGAAGCACAAAAACTTTTCAGGAATAGTAGAAGCATCTGATCAAACTGATGCCCATCAAGAAGGCCATTCTATACACATTTTCTTTATAATTAAAAGATCAAAGGTATTTGTTAATATCTATTTGGCATCTGCTTCACATTTTTCCCAAAAAAGAAAGGCTTAACTAAAAGACAGTTTTGAGCAGGAAAAATTTACCTGTTCGATGTTTGTATCATCTTGTTTCTGATACTCAACTCCCTTTGAATTTCCCATAGGATTTTGACCTTCATGTTCCTTTCCAGCTTTTGTGGGTATAAAACCATCAGCAAAACCATTCTCATTTTGGAATGAATTTCTGCTTTGATAGGCAAAATAAAATGAATTTATACAAGCCAAAAGTAATAATAACAAAACCAAAATTTCTGTATCCTTGACACAAATTTCTATTGGCTACCTTTTCCTATAACTTTTTCTTTTATCCATGGTAAACTTATTGAATTTCTTGGCCCCATTCAGTGGATTGGCAGAAGAAGGTTGAATTTGAAAAGCAGCTTCTCCATTACCATGAGCTATATTTCCAGAAAAACCATCAAAAGGAAGTGGGACTCCCTACACACAATATCAATACATGTCAAACAGACCATTCAATGTTACATCAAACAAACAAAATTCCCGAGACTCAACAACTTGTACAAGATCACCAGAGTGATTATACCTTAGCAACAACTTGAACAAGATCACCAGCGAGGATTACAAGTGTCTCCACTACACTGCCATTTGCAACATTGGTGGCACATCTCCCCTTTTTAGTCAATTTTGCTTTCTTCAGAACAATACCTAATGAAACACAAACTAATTAAATAATCATCCTCAAAAGTCAACATAGCAAATAGAGATAGAAACCATCAATTAACACAAACAATTAGACTTAACCGCAAGCTTATCTCCCCAAATAGAAAAGATTCAAGTACTTCATTTTGTACTACATTGGTTTCTGAAAAGTAAAATGTCACCATGATTGAGCCATATTACATATTTACATATTAGACAGGGTTCACTTAGTCTAATTGTTTGCATTGCTAGTTTCTTTTTTACTTACTCAAAAGACTAAAAAAACAAAATAGCGAATAACTTGAATGAAAGACACAATCAAACATAGTTGTTCCGTATAAAAGCAAAAAGCAAGTAAGAAAAATAACAACCAAAATGGGGCCTTCGATAAAAATGTCTCCTTTAATCTGATCCCTGCAACAATAATGCTCTTTAATCGAGTAGCTAACTCCATGTCCATGTTAAAATTGTAACCTTTGCACAAAAACAGTAAGAGCAATAAAAAATGACATTAAAACCTTTTTATTTCCTTTTTTATTTCTTAGTAGCTAAGACAGAAACCAATCTGATCTCATCCAATTTACAAACAAAATCACAACAATTAAATACAAAAACCAAAACCCAGATATCATTTCAATCAACAATCAAAACCCAGAATTGATTTAGGGTAAAAAAAGTAATGCCACAAGAAACCCAGAAAAGCTCAAAACTGAAAAGCAGAACGCACCAAATTCCTTTTCAACAGAAGCAGTGTGGAAGATTCCAGAGTAAACAGAGCCATCTTTCAAGTGCACATCCACTGGCAGACCAATGATGCACATGGTAGCAAACAGCAAAGCTTCGTTCATTGAACAGTTCTCTTCTTCTGCTCCGTTTTTGAGTCCCATCTCTGTTTTTTTCCCCTTTTTTAGCTCTGTTTTCCAGTTGATTGAATTGGAATTTTTTTTTTTATATGAAGCTTCTACGTTTAACAGAGATCTGAAGTTGCAGAGGGTAGATTGAATAGAGGGAATCAAAAAATGCAAAAAAGAAGACAAAAGGCAATTTTCTTTGTTCTTTCTATGCTCTAATTTACATTTATACCATGTTTTTTGCATTTGTAAATAATTCTTAGAAAGACAAAAAAAAATGAAATTAGTAAAATCTTTTTTAAATATTATATTTTAAAAAGAAAAACTTTTAAATAGACTAATTTAATAAAATGTTATATTTATATATAAAAATATAATTTATATTAAAAATAATATTCAATCTCTAATCTACATTTATATATAATAAGAGATATGTATCTGAATAAGTTACATTCAATCTCCAAGCTTACACAATTTTTTCCTAATCTCATTAGATTGGGATTTAAAAAAAAAAAAATTTAACAACATATTATTTATAATTATTTTTATTATAAATTTATAATTATATAATCATTAAAAAAATCATGTAAATTTTCATCATATTATAGATAGTCAAATTTATAATTGTGTCAATTGATAATTATAAGTGATATATTTTTTATAATAATTTAAAATTCTTTTATAATTTTAATGAAAATATATTTGATGAGTAATTGATTGGGATCTTGTTTTAAATGTTATAAGCTTTCTATTCCAATCCCCTGTTACAAAATTTAATTAAAAAAATATTTATCATAAGTTATTTTGAAGAATATAATTTAGGAGTAACAATGATTGTTTATTTTTATTTTTATTTTTGTAAAATAAGTGTGTTTTAATATTGTACTAATATTTTTTTTATTTTTTTGTTTTTTACATTTTAAGTAAGGTATTGTTTGCTAAATTGAAAAAAAAATTGAATTAAATTTATAATTTGAACATTTTTTAGAACAAAATTTATGATAATTAGTAGGTGTTCTTTAGTTTTTTTCAAGTTTCACTTTGATGGTGTTGCTTAATTTATTATCTTGAATTTATAGATTCTTGAATGTTTGATTAAAAAAAAGGTTTTTGAGTGATTAAAAAAATATCTTGAGTGAGAAAATATCAATAATATTATATTTAGTTTTTTTTTGTGTAATAAAATTTTTTGAAAATGATTGAGTCCCATTTTATTAAAAAAATATTAAAATAAATACTAAAATCAATAACTGATGTATTACAATCGAGTCAATAAAATAAAAAATTTAAGTTTAAATTTTATTTAAAATTTATTTTTTGAAATTTAATTTTAATTTGATTAAATTTTAAATTTTAATTTGATTTAAAATAAAAATTAAATTATTTAAATTCATTTGATTAAATTTATTTATTAATTAAAAAATAAATTTAATTTTTATGTTCGACTTTACATTTAATTATTTATATTTAAATTCAAATTAAAATTTAAATTTATATAAATAAATATAAAATAATAATTTTTAATTAAAATAATAAAAATATATATTAAATATAATAATCTGATTAAAATTTTAAATTATTTAAATAAAACATTAAAAAATTTAAATTTGACTTATTCAATAAATCAAATTACTCAAATTTAATTTTATAATCGAATTAAAATTTTAATTTTATTTTATTCGAACTCAAATAATTTTTTAGCATTGACGTATCATTTACACTTAATATCAAATTTTACGATGACGTGGTTTATTTAAAACGCGGTCGTTCAAACAACAGTTCCTAGCATTCCTCTTTAATTTATCTTCCGATAAGAAAAAATAAAAAATGGTTGGAAAGAACCGTCTGTTAAAACTGCAGAAACCCTGCGGAAAACCCTAAACCCTCAATCACAAATAAACAAAGCTCTCAACATTTTTTGTCCTCCAAAAACCCCAAAAAAGCCAAATTTTAAAAAAATGCGAGGACCCAAATCGAGGACCGCCAGAAAACAACACAGGAACAACGAACTCCAAGAAATCGAGGTCCTAAACGGATGGATAGAATCCCAGAAACCCGAATCCGGTTCCAACCCGTTATCTCTTGACCCGCTCAAGTCCAAGTCGCCAATTGGTCGAATTGTCGACGCCCCGAATGGTGTCGTGTCATTCTCGAGGTACGCGGGAGCGAGGAAATTTCATGAGCTGCCTATATCAAAGAGGACGAAAAATGGGTTAGAAGAAGGTGGGTTTAAGAAGATGACTGATATTCAGGTGGCGTCTTTGCCTCACGCGCTTTGTGGGAGAGATATTCTTGGCGCGGCTAAGACTGGGTCTGGAAAGACTCTTGCTTTTGTTATTCCGGTTAGTTGGATTTTTTTTTTGGAATTTTGGGATTTTAAGGCTTCTGTTAATTATTATTATTAATTTGTATTATTTGTTATTAATGTTATTAATATTCAATTTGATTATTATTAATTGTTTTGTTTATAAGAAAATTGGAAGGAAATCTTGTGATTTTGAGGTTTTGAGATTCCTTTCTGATTTTGTAGCTATGATGAGGTTATTTTAAAGTGAATTGATTTGGTTTTTTCTGACTAGATATATTTTCTTTTATTTATTTGTTGGATTTAAATCTAGAGATGAAGATATAAAATGAACAATGAGAGATGGTTTTCCTGAACTGCTGTGATATCAGAAAACTAACTGATTCTAAGTTGTTTTGTTAATGTTTCTGGACCTTTTTGATAATTTTAAGTAATGCTGAGTGATTGTTTATTTCAGGTCCTGGAGAAGCTGTATAGAGAGAGATGGGGTCCCGAGGATGGAGTAGGCACCATCATAATATCTCCCACAAGGGAGCTAGCTGGTCAACTTTTTGATGTATTAAAAGCTGTTGGGAAGCATCATAATTTTAGTGCTGGCCTTCTAATTGGTGGTCGCAAGGGAGTTGATACAGAGAAAGAGCGTGTGAATGAGCTGAACATTTTAGTTTGTACTCCAGGTCGTCTTCTTCAGCACATGGACGAGACTCCAAATTTTGATTGTTCTCAGCTTCAGGTCAACATAATTTTGTCTTAATTTGTTTCATTTTTTGGTGGCTTGTCTTTTCTTTTCTTGTTTGATATATTACTTTGTAGTGCTCTGTTTAGCTGCTTATTTGGGTAAAGTTTTCTGGCCAGGGAACAGGTTTTGGTCCTTGATGAGGCAGATCGTATTCTTGACATTGGTTTTAAGAAGACTTTAAATGCAATTGTATCGCAGCTACCTAAGCATAGACAAACATTGCTTTTCTCGGCTACCCAAACAAAGTCAGTTCAGGATCTTGCAAGACTCAGTTTGAAAGACCCAGAGTATATCAGTGTGCATCAGGAAGCTGTGACAGCCACTCCCAATGGCTTGCAGCAAACTGCAATGATTGTTCCACTTGACCAAAAGTTGGACATGTTGTGGAGTTTTATAAAGGCACATCTTAGATCAAAGATTCTTGTGTTTCTTTCAAGTTGCAAAGAGGTATGTTTGCATTATTTATGTTGTGTAACCCTAACATATTCTGTTTAAGGGATTTGTAATTGGGTGTTGAAACTTAAAATACAAGTGATTTCTGCTGGTTCTTCATTAGCAAATTTTGCAAATGTCTTGCTGTCTTGGTAGGAATTTGATATCTTTATTTGCATTTTTTATCAAATAGTGTAGGAATTTAGTAGTGGTGGATTGCAAAACAAGTGATTTCCAGGGTCTTCACCCCTTTCTTAGGTTTTTAGAATTTTTATTGGTTGGAAATTTAAACCTTTGGTTATTGATATCTTTTTCTAGAGTAGGTAGATGGTGGAAAAAACTTTCCTTTGCTCCATGTCTTTCTAATGGCATGACTGATTCTCTGTTCTCTGTTTTCAGTGCTGTTTGTGTTCATTTTTGCTATCCTTGGGAGTAATGATGATGCGAATACATGCTGTTTCATAGGTTAAATTTGTCTTTGAAGCATTCAAGAAACTGCGCCCTGGAATACCCTTAAAGTGTCTTCATGGAAGGATGAATCAAGAGAAGAGGATGGGTATATATTCCCAGTTCTGTGAGTCTCATTCAGTTCTCTTCTCAACCGATGTGGCCTCAAGAGGACTTGATTTTAACAAAGCAGTTGACTGGGTTGTGCAGGTAAAAATTTGTTCAAGAAAAAAAACAGGAGATTTTGTTTTCATTTTCTCAATGGGCATGTTTTCTTGTCTTAACAGGTAGATTGTCCAGAAGATGTTGCATCCTATATACACCGAGTTGGCCGCACTGCTCGCTATCTTTCTGGAGGAAGGTCAGTTTTATTTCTGATGCCTTCTGAAATGAAGATGCTTGAAAAGTTACAGGCGGCAAAAATACCAATACAGTTCGTTAAGGTAGATTAATCACATTATTCTTTCTTCCTTTCCTGATCTCATATTTAGAAGACCCTTACATGATGAATCAAATCCTGATGTCTGCCACTTGTATGCTAACCTTACTATTATGATGCCGCCAGGCAAATACAAAGAGGCTGCAATCTGTTTCTGGATTATTGTCAGCTTTACTAGTCAAATATCCCGATATGCAGCATCTGGCTCAGAGGGCCTTTATCACATATTTGCGTTCTATTCATATTCAAAAAGATAAAGAGGTTTTTGATGTGATGAAACTGCCTGTTGATGAATATTCAGCATCACTTGGTTTACCAATGACTCCCAAGGTCAGGTTCTTGAAGCAAAAAAATAAAAGCAAAATGGAGTCAGAAAAATCTTCTCTTGAATCAGAAATCTCTGACGATGAGAATGGGCCAGTTATCCGGAAAGAAGATCTACTCGTAGAAGATGTCAAAGACAATAAAGTGGAAAAAGATCTTCTGCTGAAGGATGATACACAGGATGTGGGAGAAGGGAATACCAGTGAGATTGGGGATATTATGTATGCCCCTTGCTTATATATCTTACATATAGAACAAACATAAAGATGGTCATGAAATAGTGCCAAAATTTTTTATTTACATGCAAGTAGGTTGAATGGCTAATTATTTTGATATAATTGTTGATTTTACTTGTAGAATTTACCTGCTTAGTTGGTAAGCTGAGATACTTGTCTGTTTTCTTTTGAATCAGTAGATCAATTTAGATCAGATGAATTGTGGATGTCTCTGGCTAGCATTACCCTAATGATTTGTTTTATTTGTATTCCTTTATTCAAAAGCAATTTTTGAGTTGGGTTTCTTTCTTTAGGCCGGCAACACGGGTCTTGAAGAAAAAAAAGCTGAAGATCAATGTTCATAGACCTGTGGGAACAAGGGTGGTCTTTGATGAGGAAGGTAACACGCAGACTCCATTTGCCATGTTGGCTGACAAGAAGAGTGGCAACATTCTGCTTGACCAAGGTATACATTATCACTTCTGTTTACTGAAGGTTATAGGCTTCTCAGTCTTGTGCTACTCTTCTGCAGCTTTTAGTGTTTGATCTGTTAATTGATTTGATCTCCTGTTTTCTATTTCTTATGTAGTAAGGAGAAAATGTAATTGTACAAGTAATTCAATTCTTACTTGAATGGTTCTAAATAACATCATATGTCATTCAAAATTTGATGCTGCTTTTGATTTTTTTCCCTGGCAGAAATATATGACTTTTTTGAATGAATTGCTGCTTCTTGATGCTCTTTCAACTCGTGCTTTCTGTATTGCAGACAAAAAGGATGAGTACTACAAGAAAATGAGGCAAGAGTTGAAGCAGGTGGACAAAGAAGACAAGCTTTTAGAGCGCCAGCGGCTTAGGGAGAAACGGATCAAGAAGAAGATGAAGTTGAAGAAAGGGCAGAAGGAGGAAGAGGATGATGAAGAAGATGAGGATGATCTTTCTGATTCAGAAGGAGAATCAGATGCAAACAGAAAACGTAAAAGGTCTAAAGTATACTTCCATAGTGATAGTGATGATGGTGAAAGAGAAGAAAATAAGGCTGTTGCAAGCATCAATGCTGATTCTATTTCTGTGGCAGAACAAGAAGAACTTGCTCTGAAGTTATTATACTCAATGCACTCGTAAATTATACGAAAAACTCCTATTGACCTTGAATTAGTTCATCCCCAACCCAATACAGCCGACCCTTTCTGTTCCCAATCAACAATGTACAATTTTGTCTTTTCCAGAGCATTTCACTTTTGTCCTATGATGACCACTGGGTTTAGTCATCAAAGTATATGATAGAATAGTTAAATTTGAAAGGCAGTTAGCCACTTAACCTACAAAACTAGCAGGTTCTACCTTGGCTTTCAAGTGCTTCACCGATGCCCCCATTCCCAAGAAAAACGTGGGATTTGCTAATTGCTAACGTGAGTCTGACGAAAACAGAAGTGGTGTTAGCTAAGGAAAAATAGGTTATATTAAAGAAAGTTAGGTGTGAAGGGTTAGCAACTCAATTTTCAATTCTGCCATTAATTATTTTCTATGTTGGTCTTCTTTTTTGCTTTCCAGATTGGTAGGATTTGGATACAGTCAGGAAATTTATTTGATAATGACCTGCAAAGGGGCCAGTGGCATGTAAATTTCATCAACAAACTCCAATTTGGTTAAAAGAAACCTCATTAATGTTAAAAAAAAAAAAGCATAACCTCATTGATTGGGTTAAAAAAAAAAAAGAAACAGAAAGAACTAACTGAGACAGATATGTGCCTTTGCAAATTAGCTTCCAATGATGTTTGGTATCTTCTTTAAAATGTCCGCTCTTTTCTGTTCTTTTAACCAATTGTGTGTTCAAGTTTCTTTCTATATTCATGTAAGATATAATGCTTTGACTCCAGCTCATGGATAATTTTCCCTAATAAAAATTAGACAAATGGAATACTTATGAAAAAATAATTATAATTAGAAGAACGACCCGGCTTCGCCCGGGGTTATAACTTTTTAATTTTTATATAATATAAATTATATAAATTGTTTATTTAATAATAAAATATAAATATTTTTTTATTTTATTTTTAAAAATATAATTTTTAACAAAAATAAAAAGAAAATTGAACGTGTCACTCAATAGTAATTAAATAAGTATGAATTTTTATTTTTTTAAAAAAATAAAAAATTTTAATATGATAGGAGGATCATTATAGTAATTTTATCTAATGATAATAAGAGGATATTTCTATAATTATGGTTGTAAGAACATTATAATAACTTTAGTCAATTGTGATAAAAATTTTTTTTTTAATAATTATGTTAACAGAGATATTATAATAATTTTAATTAACTAAAAAAAAAAAGGCATTATAACCGATTTGGATTCATATAATTTAATTGTCAAATTAGAAACACATAATGATAATTTTTAAGGAATCATTTTCGTATAATTATACGGATGTTAAAATTTAATATGAAGTAATAAAAAGGCATTTTCGTTATTACGACAAAAAGGTATTATAACATTTTTGACAAATTATAATATGAGAAATATTTTTATAATTATGATAGAATGGATGTTATGGTAATTTTGGTAAATGTTAGTAGAAGGGCATTTTAGTTATCTTGGTAATAGGGCATTTTATTAATTTTGATCAATTATGATAAGAGAAATATTTTAATAAATATGTTAAGAGGGGACATTATAATTATTTTATTTAATGATAAAAAGAGGGACGTTACAATCAATTTAGATATATGTAATTTAATTGATAAATAATAAAAATGACATTATGATTATTTTTAAAGTAATTAATTTCATATTATTATATGAATGTTAAAATTTAATACATAATTAAGAAGTAATCAAATTGGTATTTTCATAATAATGCTTAGAGGGTATTATAATTATTTTGATAAATTATATTATAAAAGGTATTTTTGTTATTATGATAGGAGAGGTATTATATGAACTAATTAAAAGCTCGACCTAAATTAAAAAAATAAATTTCAAATTCATCAATTAAACTTAATTTATATAATAAAAAATAATTAAATTAAATTTAATGAAATTTTATTCAATTCACATATATATAAAAATAAAAATTAAAAATTAAGTTTAATAAAATATATATACTTTTTTATTTTTAATTTTTTATTAAAAAAATTAATTTATATATAATTCATATATATATATATAAATAAATAAAAATTATACATATGTGAATCTAAGTTTGACTGGATTGGATTCAAATTTTAAAATTTTTATAAAAAAATCTTATTCGAAATTTAAATAAATCTAAAAAATGTGTCAAATTTGTTTAATAGGTTTTAATTTTTTTTGTCCAAATCTTTTTAAAACTTAGATAAGCTTTTAAGTTTAGACGAATAATCCGACCCTTAAATAATTATAAATTATAATAATAAATTTATAATTATTAAAAGTATTTATTAAATAATTTAAATAAATAAAAATGTAAAATCCAAAAAATGGCACATGATAGCAAAAAGAAAGAATCCTACACATAATAAATATAAAATCTTTATAAATACTAAAACAAAAAAATTTAGCATAAATGAATCCTACACGTAATAAAAATAAAATCTTTATAAATATATATTTTTCATAATTTAAAAAAATTTATTATTTTTTAAAGGAAAAACAAAGAAAAAAATGACAATGCCAAAAAAAGCCCAAAAAAGATCCAACCAGAGTTCGACACGTGGCGTCGCTTTAAGGAAAAACGGTGTTCACACGTGCAAAGAAAGGAAAAGGAGAAATCCGAGGGAAGAAAAAAAAAAAAAAGACCAATGAAAAGATAACACGACACATATGAGAAAAGTAGTTTTCATCTGTGCATGAATAAAATTAATGGTATAAATCCTACTTGGTGGATACAAGTTTACCAACCGGAGCTCCAGAAGCACTGGTCTGCAACTTCTTCTTACACGTTATCAATGGCTTTTTCTTCATCACGTTCCTTGTTGAAACATGTAATTATTAGCTTTCTATTTAGCATAACAATCATCATCTCACATGTCAATGGATGCTTCACATCAATCTTCAGCTTTGGTGATTCTTTAGCTGATACAGGGAACTTACTTCAACTTGCACTTTCACAATCCAGCAAGCTTGCCCACTCTGATTTTCCCCCTTATGGACGGACCTTTTTTGGTTATCCAACTGGGAGATGCTCCGATGGCCGCCTGGTTATTGATTTCATTGGCATGTCTACATGCTTTAACACTGGTTATGCTTATAATATACAGTTTCTTTTTTTATATTTATTTTTTTTAATTTTTAATTTTTCTTTCATTGTTTTGCAGCTGAAGGTTTTGGACTCCCATTTTTACCACCATATTTTGGAGATGAAAATGGAAGACCAAAAAAGTTTGAGAAAGGTGTGAATTTTGCTGTGGTGGGTGCTACAGCACTTGATGATGTGTTTTTCAAGGACAGAGGAATCAAGAATCCATCTACAAACGTTTCTTTGGGAGTTGAGTTGGGTTTTTTCAAAGATGCTTTGTCGTATCTTTGCTCATCTTCTTCAGGTAAGTGTTTGTTTCCTCTTTTAGATTCTGTTTGATAGGAACGAAAATGAGAGGATTTGTACTTTCCGGAAAATGAAGCAAACCATTTATTCAATTTATTATTCTACCCTTGATTGGTGCTTTTTCCTTCATTTTCCAACTCTGAGTTTGATGTTGAAGTATCAACTAATCTATTATCTCTTCCCATATTTCCGAAACCTGCTAGACGTAAAGGATAACTGTATCAGAAGGATAATTGCATAAATCAACTTAATTAAGTTTTGATTCATTACCATATTTGTTTTAAATACTAATATGCTCTTACTCACAGATTGCAAAGAGCTCCTCCGGAACTCCTTGATTGTCATGGGAGAGATTGGAGGAAATGATTACAACCATGCATTCCTGCAAGGAATAAACCCTGAGGAGATTCGAGAGTTTGTTCCTCTTGTTGCTCAGACCATAGCTTCAGCAATAAATGTAAGAAACCAAGGTTGCCAGCATGCTAAAATATTGACAGTTTTGATGACAAAATTTCCCAAAATTTTGAAAATCAATGCTGATTTTATCCCAATGGATCCAAAATGTTAACAAAATTTACTTGGCAATGCAAAGCAGGAGTTAATCGAGTTAGGGGCAGTCACATTTTTGGTCCCTGGAAACCTTCCAATCGGATGCTCCCCAGCATATCTAACTTATTTTCAAGGTTCAGATAAGACAGAATATGATCCCTTAACTGGTTGTATAACATGGCTGAACCACTTCTCCCAATACCACAACGAATTTCTTCAGAAAAAACTTGATCAAATCCGGAAGCTTCATCCACATGTCAACATCATTTATGCAGACTATTATAACATTGCAATGCGTTTTTACCATTCCCACGACCAATTTGGTAACTTTTCTTCCAAAAATATTAGATGGGATATTTTCATCAGGATCATTAAAACTTGGGTTGTTTACATGGGTTTTTCCTGCATGATTCCAGGGTTTACAAAAACTATAACAGCATGTTGTGGAGCAGGAGGTGAGTACAATTACAGTTCATCGATGGCTTGTGGCGATCCTCCTCTAAGAACCAGCTGCAATGACCCCCCTTCTTATGTTAGCTGGGATGGTGTGCATTATACTGAAACATCCTATAGATGGATCTCCCAGGCTGTTTTAGAAGAATTATACAACAATCCTTACATAAATAGCTTGTGTCTTCCATTGACAGTGACTTGGCATGCTCATTAATGGCTGAGAGATATTGAAGGGTTGATTTAATGATTGGGCATTTCTTTTATGTTTCTTTCTTGGATTATCATATACCAATTTAGATGAAGAAAATCCCATTTGGAATTAGAAATAAAGTTGAGTTATATTTCGTTTGATATTGGATTATTTTCCTGATTCAGCTCATTGAACCTGGGAAAAACTGAGGATCCATTTTGCAACAGATACTAATAATTTTTTATTCTCATAATGATAACCATTAAAAAGAGTGAACTACATTGACAAATAAAAAGCATTGGGAGTTGCTAACCATTTAAAAAGCATCAGTCCAAAGTCCAAACAACTACTATGGATTTAAGACCGTAAATAGCAATTGTATCAGCCTGCAATTAAATCGCCCATAGCCTAGAAGAAGAACTCAACATCACAGAGAAGAAAAGAGGTTAAGTGATGGGAAAGAAAAGAAGCCAAGAAAGGGAAGCAACAAATAAAAAGAGGATGAAGAAACATGACGCTCTCCAAAAACGAAAAGCCACAAATTGTACAGCAACCAAGGAAAACCCACAACATTCAAACACGCTGGATCAAACCAACACCTTAAGTGGCCTTGGATCACAGTGAACGAGTTTTGAGCCACGGTACAACAACCGCACCTTACTGCAAAATGAAAAAGAAAAAGAAAACATTAAGCACAATCGTATGTAATGTCAGAGGAAATGACGATAAACCATTTCTTGAATGGCAGATGTAGTCAGCATTTAGACATGAAGATTCAAAAGGTAAGAAACCAACCAACAAGACTTGCAATATGAAAGAGCATAGACAACCTTTTCATTTCACTTTCTTTTTTATACCCTTCCATCCAGCCAAAGTAACAAAGGGTCAAAAAGTAAATTCAGCATGCTTGTGTTTTTCTACTTCCTCTAAGAGTAGGGAATATAACTAGGAAAGTAAAAATAATTCATAAAATCACTTTTACCTGCTGTGGTTGTTGGTAAGCCCCTGGCTGCTGGTAATTACCGTATCCAGGATAGCCCCCATAATACATGTTAGGATCTTGGGGAGGAGGCGCATATCCATATGCTTCATATCCTTGAGCATATCCATAGTATCCACCATTCCACTGGGCCTGATCTGGTTGAGACTGAAACTCCCATAAATTGAACACTTATTTAGCAGAAATATAAGTAGCATGACTTCAAATATAAAATAGTATGGTTTTAAATACAAAACCTGTTTGCTTGACGGACTACGTCCCCATGAAAGTCGAACATTTCTTCCTCCTAAAAGGGTACCATTCAAAACTGATAACGCTTGCTCTGCACTAGTCCTGAAATAAATCATATTGCCAAATGCATTAACACCTTGCAATAATATTTCAAATGCCAAAATACATGAAAGTATTTAAAGTTTACCTGTTAGCATATTGAACAAAACCACAATGCTTGTTAGCAGGAATTTTTACATGAACTACCTCACCAAGCTGGCTAAATATTTGCTTTAATTGGTCTTCAGAAACGCTGGGATCTAAACCACCAACAAATATCTGCATTTAAGCTTGTAAGATTTCAGTCGGCCATACCATGAAATAAAGCATATATTATACATAAAAAAGCTACCTACTGTAGTATTATTTGGATCATTCTCGCCAGGATTTCCTTGAATATTCTGGTAAGTGGCTGCAAATAACAAATACATGTAAACTACCATAGAATAGATGATGATAAGAGATCACAAAACAAAGTGACGAGGCATGCATGTGCCATCCCTGAATGGCAATTTTTCATATTGCTATAAAACCTTGATAGTTAATACTAATTCAGTAAGAAATCTTCCAAAAGTAAATATTTTCACGTTAGCTATGAAAACTCCAAACCTGTTCACAGACATCATGTAATGAATTTTCAGTTATAGCATTATTACTTCTCTAAATTCAAAGTAAACATATTGGCCAAAAAATATTCAAAGTAAACATTGTTGAAAAAACCAAAGCATTAAGATAACATAATACAATTATGGATAGAAAAAACAGTTAATAATAAGCAGTTCAAATAATTCCTTCCATGGCATGCAAAAGAACAAACATGTAAATCATAAACATCTTTTGGGTTACACCAAGGCTTACCACTACCAGGCGAAGTCAAAAGCATCAGATTAAATGAATCTCAACAGTAGCTGAAAAAGAAATCATTAATTACACTAAACTCAGGGAATCAGAAAAGGTCCTCTTATTTCATTAACCCTTTACAAGAGGGTGAAAAAGGGGAAAAGGAAAATTGAAATCAGAGACTCATCCTTTCACCTCACTTGACAAAGTATTTCTTTCTTTTTTTTTTTTTTCTTTTCTTTAACCAATTTTTTGGAAGGGAAAGGGGGAGGAAGTTGCTGGAGCTTAAATTGAATGATTCACAAATTCAACTTCAAAGAATACATTCAAGTAGAAAGAACCTATCTGCTAAACTAATTTTAATAATGCTTTAACATTCTCTGCAAAAACAGAAACCTAAAAAGAGTGTATTGGTAGCCACAAAATGGCAAGATGGACATATTTAAAAAATATGGCTGCTTCATCAAGTTTTGAGCATTAAAGCTTGAATTTTAAGGAAGCAAAAAGGAGAGTGTAAACATATGCAAGTACCAAAGGGGAACTGGTCCATGATGAAATAAAAACAAAGTTTCTGGACTTGTAAAAAAAGTAAGAAAGAATTAATGGAAACATGTTGGAAACTGAAACAAATTGAACTTGACTGGAATACGTAAAAAGGAACTGGAAATGTAATTTGCGAATGTAGCACAAATACTCCCACGAGAAAATGAAGCTTACGACATAAACAAAGTAACTGACCTAAAATGAGGCCACGCATTAAAGTGGAATCATTTCAGCTGATATCAGTTCCAGGCCCCCCAAAATGAGAGCCTCTTGGTGTCCTGCTTTAAGACAACATGAGTTTTATATAAGTTTTTGCAAGTTTTTAATATAATTAAATGTGCCCAAGTTTACAAAGGCAAACTGGAAGGAAATGACTTTGTATAAATTCCGCCAATCTTCAAGTGCATAACTGACAGTATTCGAATTTTAAGGACACTGTAACAAATGCACACCTCAGAAAATTAAAACTCAAAAACAAAAACAAAATAACCAACTAGCATTCAACTTGTCAGTCAAACTACTCTAGCATAAATCATCGCAAATAAAAAACTACACACAACCAAGCAAACTTCATATGGCAATCAAAATAAATTAAATAATGAACTTAACATAAACCACAAGAGTGTACCTTTTGGATACTGTTGACCAGTGACAGGCTTCTTATTAGCAGCTGGCCCGATCCGCATTGCCCTTGTTGAACAATAAATCCCATTCATTTCGGTCATGGCCCGAATCTGCTCAGTTTCATCACCAAACCTCACAAAGCCATAACCTTTAGACCGTCCCGTAGTCCTATCACTAACCACTTTGGCACCCTTAACAGATGGGTAAACAGCTTTAAAAGTCTCTTGTAACATATAATCCGAAACATCCGCAGCTAAATCCCCAACAAAGATTGTATAATCCGGACCCTCCTCTTGCTTCTTTTCCCCGTATCCAAGCGCCGCCCAATTCAACCTAAAATTCTGCTCAGAATTGGGCATCTGTACACCATTATACGACTGCAAAACCCTCTCAGCTCCAGCACGTGAAACAAACTCGATAAACCCATATCCCTCTGGTAGCCCCGTTTGCTTATTCCTAATCACCTTAGCTGAAGCCACCTAAAAAAACGGAAAAGATTAAGCTTTCTTATTAAGACTTTTACTACTTATTCTTTGCTTTACCTAAAAAAGCCAGGGAAAAGAAAAGAAATTCATTTAAATGCAAAAAGGAATCATATTTTTGAATTATTAAAAATAAAAAATATTAACTTCAGCGAATAATAATAGCCTATAACATATTTTCTCCTTTTAATTAAATATTATTTTTTTACCACTTTTACAAATAAAGTACCTCTCCTGTGTGAGCGAAGATGTTGATAAGGTAATTCTCATCCATCCACTGCTGAAGATCACCGATCCAGAGAGATCGAATCTCGCCGGAGCCGGCGGCAGCGGAACCAGCGGAGTAGTGCTGCATCTGAGAAGGCGGAGGGAGGGGTTGTGGATTCCAAGCGGAAGGTGGAGGAACCGGCTGACCTGCCTGCTGTTGTTGTTGAGACATCATCATCCACGGTTGCGACTGCTGTTGTTGCTGGTACTGCAGGGTTTGAGACTGATCTGCAGCCATGGACGGCGGCGGAGCTACGGCTCCTGCTGGTGGTTGTTGCATCATCTTTGGCAGATAAAGAAAAGAGATTAGAGAAATCTTCGTGAGAAGGGGAAACCCTAACTTTTTTTAATTTTAATTTGGTAATCGAAATTTTATAACAAGGGTTCGGCTTTTGAGGATTTTTTCTGTTGTTTGGAATTGAATAAAGGACGATTGTTGAGGTGACACGTGGAAATAGGAATTAGATTAAGCTGGGCTGAAGATTTTTTTTCGGGGAATGTGTGTGTTGGGCTGTGCGATTGGGCCTGGTGATCATGAGCACTAAAATTAAAACATTATAAACTCAGAACATAAATTTTTCGATATTACAAAAAAAAAAAAAAACTAGAATAAAAATTTAGAATTTATTCATAGTTTCCATGGTCGAAAAAAATTACTTAAATTGTTTTCCCCGAGTTTTTGCCAAAAAATTTTGGATTTTATGACTTTTATAAGATGATTTAGTTAAATCTAACAATTTATATATTCATATTATATAAAATATTAAAATTTATGTATTATTTTATTATATTTTTTATAAAAATTATGTGTTATAATTTGTGTCAACATAAAAATATAAAATATATATTTTTAATTTTATTAAATTCATATATAATTATCATTAAAATTTTAAATTATATTATATTATTATATTATATTTTAAATTATTATGTTTAGATTTAGAGGCGACTCTAAGAAAATTTTCCTTAATCTATTAGATGGTCCATTTGATTTTTTTTTATATAGTAGTAAATAGTTCATATAATTATATATAGTTATTTTTTATACGTTATCAATGAATTTTTTTGGTTTGTTAAGAGATTAACACTTATTTCACTTTTATTTAATTAATTTTAATTTTTTTAATGTACTATGTATTAACTTATTAATTTTATCTATAAAATTTAAAATTTTCATTTACAATAGATAATGAATATATATTCATATATCCAAACGAAATGTATGATTTGGCAGAAAAAGAAAACTAAATTGAATTTCTAATTCAAAGTGCAGGTACAAATGATCCAAGTTGGGATGATTATGTATATATAGGGAAAATTAGTTCAATTTCGCTAAGTATTAAAATACATAAAAAAGATATGATACAAAGGAATTTTATTAAGTTGATAATCTAATTCATACTTATTATATTTTGATTTGACTCAAATTTATAGTGTTAAATTTTTTAAAAAAATCAAATTTCAAATAGAGTATTTTTGAAAAAATTCAAAATCGAGTTTTGTGCAATCTCATTGGCTTAGTATATATATAAATTTTTATTATTTATTTAATTTTATATTTATATTTAAAAATAATATTTTATATTTAAAAATAATATTAAATAATATTTTGTATTAAAAAATTAATATTTTATTAATTTCAAATATAGTCAGTTGGTTGTGAATTTAAACATATTTGAACCATATTGAATTTAAATATAAAAATAATATTTTAATATCAAATCATATAAAATTTAAATATTAAATTTATAAAATTAAGTCGAATTCGATAGAGTAAAAACTCACCTTATCTCGATTAATTGACATATCTAAAATTTACTTTTGTTTCTGTACTTATCTATAATATTAATTTTATAAATTTTGAAGGAAAGTCAGGTTGTCCACGTGACACTCATCTTCTCTCCAAAATTTATATTTTCAAATTTTTTATGAGATAAATTTTATAAAAACAAAAATTAATAAAAATAAAATAATTAAATACTTCACATTCGATAAGTTTTGATTTGTTTTAATTTAATTGATGTGATTTTTAATTTAGATTGGATCATAATTTTTTTTTTTAAATTAAAGTGAGGTCAAATATAAATTTAGAGGTTTCGCCTGTCTCAGGTACTATTTATTTAATTTTATATTTAAATATTAATCAAATTATTATTTAATATTTTAATTTAATAAATTCACATAATATCTCATTTGTTTTTTTTTTTTGTCATTTTTTTTTATTTTTTTAATTAGATAAATTTTATTAAAAAAAATCAATAAAAACAAAAATAACAAAATAACTTATATATGATGGATTTCAATTTGTCCTGATCTAATAGATATTAACTTTTTCAATCCAAGATGGGATTAAGGACTTCTTGAAAATCAAATTGGAGTAGGAGACAGGTTAAGAGTGTTCTGTCCTGTCCCATGCATATTAAAAAATATATTTGATTATTTATTAAATTTTATATTTATATAATTATATTAATAAAATTATTATTTAATATCTTATCTAGTAAAAAATTATATTTATTCATAATTAATATGTAATTTATATTAAAAATAATATTTTTATAAATATTATATTAAATTAAAATTATTGAATTTTATCAATATTTTTATTAAAAATATTTATATAAAAAATACATATAAAAATTTATTAAACTTTTTAAAAAAATTTGTACACTTAATCTTTATAACAAGAATTTTTAATTTATCAATTTTAATTATTATTTAATCATTTTTATTAAAAAACTTTACAAACTTTATTTAAAAATTTCCATCTAAATCTAACTAATGGATTTGGGATCTCGAATTGTTTATATATTTGTAATATCGAAACTCAATTTTTTTTAATTTAATTTACTTTTTTATTTTAAAAGTGCACATTCTGATAATGTTGCATTCAAAATTACTCTTAAAAGTCTCTTTACATAAATCAAATCTAGATTTTGATTGTCTTTTACTTTTATAATTTTCAATTATTTCAGAAATTTGCATTTCCCGGAGGATATTCAAAGCCAGAAAGAATCTTAAATTCTTTCACAGTTTAATTACTAGCAAGAATCAGTTTACAATTTCAAACTTTTGATTAAACAATTCTTACAAGATCATTGAAAATTAAATTATCAAAAAAAGTTTAATTTGGGAAAAATTATAAACTCAAAAGTTTCAAATCCTTTCATTTTTTTGGCAAATGACATAAAGCCAAAAGATCAAATAAATAAATAAATGGTGGCTTTGAGTCTTTGAATTTTAATATGAAATCATCAAACATACAAATGGGTTGAAGTGAAAATGATTCTTCCATGTCTAGTAGTAGAAGTTTATCTGGTTATGTTCTCCACCTTTTCCAATCTGTATCAATCCCAGGGGTCCTATTTTGATTAGCTACTCCATAAACTGCAGCAAATCATCCTTCTGATGCATCATTCTTGATCATGTAGGGTGCCTTAGAAACCAAACAAATTTGGGACACTAAGAAGAAGAATCAGTAGCATATAACAAATAAACAAAAATCTGTAACAGTGAAAATTGCAGGTACCTCTACTTCTATGCCTTGGCATTCACAGTGAAAGTCATAGTTAGCTTGGGACAATCTTCAACTATTGAAGAACTCAAATTTGGAATTGCAAGCTGATAACCCCTTGGACAGTAAGTAATAAGGCTTGGCAGTTGAAGGAGATCCAACATCCACAGTTTAGGCAGCAGTAGTTGTTTCTCTTCCAGGACACTTGCTTCTTCATTTTCATCTCCAAATAGTTGCTTTAGCTCAGAAGCACCTTCCACTGTGATTGTTTCTAGTTTTGGCAGTGCAGCGCTAACCGGAAAGAGACTTTTCATTCTATTGCAGCTTCCAATTTTTATTTTTGCCAGTGCACAGAAACATATAGGTTGGAAATTGCCCTTTGATGATGCCGGAATTTGGTCTCTTTCTTCACCATCGTCCTTGGCAATGATTTGCTCCAGATCCTCGCATTCGCATATAGTCAGGTACTTAGGTTGTGGCAGATTTTGAGCAACGGTGGGTCTGAAAATGTGTTTCATTCTGTTACAATTGAACAACTACAAGGTAGTAAGATCACTGAGGCTTGCATTCTTGTAATGATCAAGTAAGTAAAAAATATTCCCTGTTGGTCTGGATTCTCTCCGAATTGAGCATAGACATTTATGTTCTTCCATTAGAAGAGGAAGACCCTTCAGCTGAAACACCTTTGTACTCCACAGTTTTTAACTGTTAATTCTCTCAAATCCAGAAAGCGTTGCTCGTGTTTTAAACAGTTGACGGTAGTAGTTCTTTCCTTCTTGAAGCTGTAATTTCTGTGAATACAAATTTCATTAAATCAGTAAGCAACATACACTAATTGCTGCCTGCAATGAAAAGACACATGAAACTTGAAAAATTTTGAAGTCCAATAAATATTGCATCCAAAATTTTGAATGCCACATATTTTTACAGAAATTGGATCCTTCTTTCTGTTCTTTTCTCTTTTCTTCCTTGAATCCCTGGTTTAAAACTTTCAGAAACGTATCCTTAACTCTTACAAGATATCTGTTGGAACTTGGAAGTTTCTTCTGGTTCCCATAAAAAAAAAGGTTACTTTGTTTTGTAGCTTATTCATTAACATTTTATGAGAAATAAGGGTCTAAGATTAATTTCAATTGCCAATGTAACATTTCATCACCATCATCATCAATATTACTAGCATTATAAGTCATAGCTTTTCATACCAGGAAAAGAGATTTATCGTGTTTAATTACCTGTCGCCAACCCTCGATCAAGTTATTTCTGTCAACGGAGAAACACATGGTCATCTTGGGGCAGTCTTCTACTATTGCAGTGAATGATGATGAGATCATGAGAGGATACTCCAACGGGCAGAAGCTGACAAGGCTTTGTAGTTGGAGGAGTTGTAATTTCTTTAACTTTGGAAGCACCATATCTTCTCCATCTATAATGTTGGCTTATCTTCATGTTCAAAAACATGCTCCAATTCAGACCCCCCTTCTACTTTCAACTCTTCAAGTTTTGGAAGATCTTGAGCAGCACTAATAGGAAACACGTATTTCAACTTGTTGCAGTTGTTGATCAACATTTTGGTCAGATTAGGAAAGCTGTTAGGCCGAAGATGACCCTTTGAGGATGATAATAAAGTTTGATCAATGGCAATGATTTGCTCCAGTTCCTCACATCCTTTCAAATGTAGATCTCTCAATTGCGGAAAATTTGGAGCAAACATAGGTGAAAAGATATATCTTAGTCTTTTGCATTCAACTATTTCCAAATGAGTAAGATGCTTAAGGGTAGCAATTTGTGTAGGGCCCTTCCATATCACTTGTAAATCTTGTAGATCCTTCGAGTATAGGTTATCCAAACTTGAGAGGAAGAATGCGCCTTCGAGTTGAAATATCTCTTCACAGTTACCAACTCTTAAATATTCCATACCAGATGCACTTTGTCTTCCCTGGAGGCTAACATTGTTGCATGGTTGACAGTTATTTCCAACCTTACAGAGCCATAATTTCTGTGAATATACCCTCTAGTTAGATCAGACAGTTAATGTAGTATGATATCAAAACATAAATGAGCATTCAACAGTTCTCAAACAACCATTATTTCTATGGAGTTTTCCAACCGACAAATTGCTCGGATCGAGTTATCTCTCCTATGAAGTAGACAACTTAATCAATTATCAAGAACATAAGAAATACCAAAACAGAACAGAAATGAGACTAGAAATACCTTAATATAAGCCCTCATCATCTCTTCAAAAACGAAAGGTGCCAACATGGGGCATTCCTCAACTTCTAACACTTCCAAAGATTGCTGCACAAGAACACAGTTTTCTGGACAGAAACTACTCAAGCTTTTTAAATTTTTTTAAATTTTTAAGTACTAAGGACCGTAGCTGGGGTAGAACAATGTCCTTCCCATCCATTTCTTTTCCAGGGCTGAAAACTTGTTTCAGTAGAGTACAAGAAGTAATGTTAATTTCTTTCAGCTGTGGAAAATCGGGGCCCATAGAGATTGGAAAAACATATTCCAAAATATCACAACAAGAGATCTTTAGGGTTGTTAACTTTGGCAAGCACAGAGGATGGTTATCAGAGTGGATTGTTTCTGTGATAATATGCTTCACGCCAGAGCAGTCATGTATTTCAAGTGTTTCAAGCTGCAAAAGACCTTGAGCATGCACTGGAGAGAAGAGAGAAGTCAGTTTATCACAACTATGAACTTTCACAGTCCAAAGACTTTGAATACTTACACATTGGACCGGTCCCTGCCATATACACCTCAAGTTAGGTAATAACTCCTGCTCCAAATGAGTCAAATGCGAAAGTAGTGAGGCATGATTTTCTTCCTTGGTGTTTAGAAGATTATCCAACTGGAATACCTCTAGCAACCTAGGACAGTTTATGACGGTCGCCTCGCTTAAATTTTTCACAACTGGAACTGTAGAGATCATAGTAGGACAATTTTTTACTGTAAACTTTTCTAATTTGTGGAGAAAGCCTGTTGGATGCGGACCGTTACATAGCTCTTTCAAGTGAACCATATCTTCCAGGCATAATACTACCAAATTAAATAGCGAAATGGCTGGAACCTGCTGAAGGGCTGTGTGAATGAGGCATTGAATATCTCTGCAATGTCTAAGCCGAAGAAGAGTCAAATTATTTAGCCCCATTTGATCCAAGCTCGGAACAAGACTTTGGTGACCCATGACACTATCCAAATCAAGTATTCAATATCATAAAACAGCTCCTTAAAAGCACTTAATGGCACTCCTGCGATTTTCAAGCTTCTAGGGCTTGGATAACCATAGTCAAACCATTGATTCATGGCTATATATCTGGTACCTTTGTAATTTAGGGAAGACAAAATCTTGTGGAAGACGTATACAATTAGCCTTCATTGTTAGTGCAGTCAAACGGGACAATGAATTCAGTTCTGATATGCTAGCAGCGGTTGCCAACTCACCTGTTCCTCCAGTTGTCCAACTGCTAAATCTAGAATCAACAGTATAAAGCTCTTCTAGCTTGGACTGCTTTTGTATCAGATTAGGTGGAATCATCCAGTTCCCACCAACATAGGACAGATCTAGCAATTTTAAGTTATTCAGTTGCCCCAATTCATCTGGTACCTTTTCGAGAAAACAACCACGGAAGTCAAGAATCTCAAGTTTCTTTAGCATACACAATGATGAGATGTCGCAAAGTTTGCATCCCCGCAGGCATAAACTTTTCAGGTTTGTCAAAGGTAGAAGTCCTTCCAGTGATGACAACAAACTAACTGAAAGAGTTAATACTTTGAGGGATTTCATCCCTTTAAAAGATGCATTCGAAAATCCCACCAAATCATTGCCACTCAACAATAAAGTTTCCAGTTTTGGGCATGCCAAGTCCTCAGGAAGATGTCCTATTTTGTTGTTCATCAAGGAGATTGTTGTACAACATGCCAAGGTCTCAGAATGTGGCCATTCCTTTAACCCAAGGCCTGCTTTTATCATCAACTGGCTCTCTCCTTCTGATGCTATCCAATGAGCAAAATCACGAACTACATCATGCATTTTCACAGTTCCTTCATTGCTAGTGTCCAACAACAATCCAGCACATTGGAGTGTGGTTAATATAACTCTTGCTTCTCTCCTCGTATCTTCAATGAAGTCAACATCTTGGAATAGGCCTTGCCCAATTACATATCTAGTTAAGTCCTCCACACTAATTTCGTAGTCTTCGGGGAAATGGGAACATAAAAAGAAACATAACTTGATTTTCCTTCCCTTCAAATAATCATAACTGAACTTAAGACATCCATAAATGTCCTGACAGAAATCTTGATTCTCTACAAGTTGAGAGCTTTTCGGTTGTTGATTTGCTACCATCCACTCATCTAGAGTTTTTTCTCTTAAAGCCCTGGCAATAGTTACAATTGCAAGAGGCAAACCCCGGCATTCTCTGGAAACTTTTTGCGCTACCTCATCCAGTTTACCATAGCCAGAGAATTCGCTTAGACCAGCATTGTGTTTGACCAAGGTCCATGCTTCATCATTGGATAAAACATCTAATTGAATCCTCTTCTGGCTTCCCATTCTGGTACATACATGTTGAAGTCGCGTTGTTAAAAGAACTTTGCAACCCTTGTGATTATCACCAAATGGAATTCCTATATCTGCCAAGTTGAATTCCTTCCAAACATCATCAAGGATAACAAAAACCTTCTTCTTTTCCTGAAGTCTATGCCATAACTGAGCTGCTCTTCCTTCTTCAGTTTCCTTTTCAAATCGCAAATCTAATAAGTCTGCAATTCGACCTTGAATGTTTTTGATCTCTGGAGTCTGAGACACAACAGCAATCACGACTAGGTCAAAAATCATCAGTTCTCTGGCCTTTTTTCCAACTTCTTTTGCCAAGGTTGTTTTCCTACCCCAGCCATCCCATACAGTCCAATCATGCTTAGTCCTTCAAGGCCTCCACAATCTGATTGAAAGCTTTCTCTGAAGAATTAGATGGCATAAAATCCTTTGATCGTAAGAATTCTATGACAGGAAGGGTAGCGCGGTGACCTACTCGTTGAAACTTGGAAGTCTCTTGAAGTTCAACAACACTGAGCTTCTTCTTTGCTACTTTCTTACCCAATTGATAGCGCCAAAGCCAACTTGGACACCAATTAAAACACCTTCTACTTTTTTCTATTTCTCTGTCCAGAATCTTAACATCTTCCAGGACTTTGTTTGCCTCTGTAAGCCAGTTCACCACATCATTTTCAATTTCTTCAGTTTGCCTGATGGCTTCATTCACATCATTTTGCAGCCGCCCTTGTGCAAGCGTAAGCTTTTCAGTCTCTTTCCTGAGGTCCTCAACATTACTGGCAAAACGGAAAACATAACTAAGATGACGAGTTGCAGGCGCCACCATGTAATCTGCAATCTTAGCAGCAATAGAAACACCAATACTAGCCATCCCTGACGATCTGAAATTTAAGAAAAAGACACTCCTAGTAAGTACAGGGAATATCAGTGACATCGTAATGAAAAATTGATGAAAAATTTTGGAGAAACTTTGCTGAGTACCTTAAGTCTTAGCAAACAAAAGCTGAACAAGTCAGTGATAGCAGCCACGAGATATCTAGAAGTGGGAAACAAAGTGATAAGCCTTCAGCTTCAATCACTAGTTCTTTACCTGCAAAGAATTAATACCATATTATGCTTTTAAAAGCAAATACATACAGATGGTCCTAGCAAATAGAAATAAATTTTTTTCTCCAACTAAACAGAAAGGAAAGAGTATGCACAAACTCACACAACCAATTGAAAGCTTATTTATGATTTTCTTTTCCAAATCCATTCATTCTTTATGTTAATTTATTCATGTCTTTCTATGAGAAGGAAAAGACATGTTTTCCAAATTGAGAAAAGCTATGCTTCTGATTCTTCATTTTTCTTGAAATATTCGTGCCAGGACATATTCTAGGGATATAGATATGGAGATTTGACGGTCCAAATATATGAAAAAATTGAATGTACATGGGAAATGTACCCGTATCCGAGACTCACCCCCAAGTAAAGAGTAACAAGGAGAAAAGAACATGACAGATGAAAGTAACAAAATATATGTATATAAACAGCAGCTTCTTGAAACTTACCTCATTAGGAGTCATTTCATATTCTTTAACAGCCCTCTCAACCACTTTCCTGAGTTTCAAGATATGAAAACTAAGGATAATCAATTATTTTCTTCTGGCGTTTTCCCTCTGAGTAAAAGCAAAAGGAACATAAAGAGATGAAAGAGGTAGTTGAAGTATGTTCAATGCAGTATTTTCTCCTTTTTTTTTTTTTCCTTCTTTTCTAAACTCTCATACAAAGAAATAAATCAGGATCAATAGAACATAACACCTTAAACTTTCATGTTCAGGCATTATACAATTAATGGAACAAAGTCAAAATAGGCGTTTTTTTTTTTAATAAAAGTGAATTATGAAAGCTCTCAGAAGCTAGTTGGAAATTTCTTGCCTAGAACATCGTTTACTTTTTGTATATGGAAGTCAATTATTATTATAATTAATTAATTAATTAATAAAACCAGTTGACTATTTGATTTAAAGATTTAAACTAGAGAAAGTTTCACATGAATGTACATGCATCTTTTTCGATGTTGTGCATCCATATTAATTTCACAATTTGTTTAAGAAATATTAGCCTAATGATCTCAACCAGTGATGGCAATTAGACAGGCCAGGTTGGATTTGAATTAGGTAACTTCGGGTCAAGTAATTTCGAATAAAAAATGAGTCATTTCATGTTCAGACAACTTTAGATTCAAATTATTCGGATTTGGATTTTTTAAGTATACATTGTTGAATTTTAAAGTCAAATCAAGTTAATTTCAAATATTTCGAATTTGAATCAGATGGATTCGGATTTTTTACTTTTCTTGATGGCATTGAGTCAAGTTCAAGGCAAATTGATCTAATTTTTCAGGTGTGTATCAATTTTGCTATTGCTAGCTCTAATCTCATAGGACTGAAATAAAACAAGGGCATTTACTTGGTTAATTAATTGTTAGGCAACTTGATGGGAGTTTACATTTACCTTGATATATTATTCTAGTCATTCTTCTTGATCTCTTCTTGGTAAACTGGCTGATCAGCAAAAAAAAAAAAAAAAATTACAGTGATCAGTGCCAGTAGTGTATGGTTGGCTCATTTTTTGTCACTAAAATATTCCCAACTTAGCATATAAATCGGATCAGAAACATGGAGTAGCAGGAAAACATGCATGATCTTAAGTTCAGTCTACTCATTTGACCCAAAAGCTATAACGAAAAGATACTCTGATATGAAAGAATATCTGGGATTTCTTGCTCCTTTTCTTGTTCTTGTATAGGTATACTTGGGAAGAAACAATTCCAACTAGCTCAATCTTGTAATTCCGCAGATACAAGTAAACATGTAAGTCATTAACTTAATTCAGTTGTAGTTTTAAAACATGGGAACGTTAGTTTCTCCTTATAGTATTGATGTTTCTCTTAGATTCAATGTCATGAACGCATATGTTTTTTGATTTATCATGATTGAATCAGAATGTTGCTTGCTTTTGCATTTCTGGACTGTCTTTGAATGAATGTTTCCCCTGGTAAATTTCTGGCAGACTAGGTTTAGGTGAGAATTGAGATATATGACTTGGTTCCTTCATTTTGAAAAGAGGGTTTTAGCTTGAAAGTTAATCTTCTGAGAAAATGTTGCTTTGATGATTGAAACTCAACTATGGTTCTGTTTGTTTTGTTAGAAAATCTGACCCCTGGATTCTATTTGTGAGTAAAATGTTAGAATCCTGGGTAAACTTTTACTTGCTTGTTAGGAATAAATGCATATATCGACAGCTGAACTGAAAGTGAGAGCTTCTCAATTCTCAAACCGTGCTTGCTTGTTCGTAATGAAGACTTGCATTCATGCATTCAAACAGAAGAAGTTGCCATATTATATATATATATATATATATATATATTTGTACTTTTTTTCTTTTTCATTGAAGATAAGTGCAAGAACAAGACAAACAAAATGGCATATCCCAGAACCAAAACAGTGATTGTCTCAAATATGACAAAATTACCATTTCACTTACGCCAAATCATGAACTTAACAAGGCTAAAACAGTCATTTTAAAATAGACCATTCATGAAGTAAAGACAAAAAAAAAAACCCAAGATTTACTTCGGTTCAGTGTTTCACAAGGGAAAGGGATTTTCCAGGACTAAAGAGAAATGGAAACAAAATTGATTCTACTTACAGTACTAACTGCTCTTCTGTCAATCTCAGCAACTGTTAGAACTGAGTACATTAGACCTCAACCTCGTAAAACTTTGCATTTACCATGGAACCCAAAACACCCTTCTCAGCCTCAGCAGGTAGCTTTGTCATTTTTATCTTAAAACAAATTTTTTTTTCAGTTTCTCGATTGTTAATGTTTTTGTCAGATTCAATGCTTCTTTGAAATTTTCTTGATGTGATCTGATCTGGGTGTTCATTGTTTTTGCACTTTTGGGTTCATTTTGTTGAGAAAAGAGATTTTGGGAAAGTTTTGGGTTTGAGGTTTTTGTTTATTTGTGGAGACTTGTTGAATGTTTTTGTGTTTCGAGAAATGGATTTACCTGCGAATGGTTTTTCTATTGAGAAAGTTTTCCCGTTTTGATCATTTTGACTTTTTTTTTTTTTTACTGCCAAATCTTATCTCTGGATTTTTTATTTCAGCTGCCTAGAAAACTTAAAATTGGTTGTTTCTGAAGGTGATTGGAACTGCATGATCAATTTTACACATTGAACAAACTGTCATGATAGATATCTATGATTAGAGTTAAGAGACTTTCCCTGAAAATTTTTGAGGAAATATTATATGTGGATTTGATATTAATGATGCTTATGTGGAAACCAAGGGGTCCTGTGTAGACTGTAGAGTATTAGGCATGCATGGACCAAAACAGAGCTATATCCTTCTTAAGCATGATATCGGTACATGCATCTATGATTGTGTTGGGATGATTTTTAAAACATACGAGATGATGCTTATGGGAATTGCAGTCTTACTATTGATCTCACTCTTGTAGTGTGAAGTAAATGTTGGAAATTTCCAAATGAAGAAAAAACGAATAGGCGTGTGACTGTTATGACAGTATTTTAATAGGATTCGATACTGTTGTCTATCTTAGGATAAAATTTTTTTTACTAATTTATAAATGGAGAATCATTATTCAGGACCATTTAATGTTCCATTAATTCCATCAAGACCTTTATGTTGTTATTTAGTTGAAATGATTTTTGCTTGACATTTTGTTGCAGGTACACATATCATTGGCAGGAGAAAAACACATGCGAATCTCATGGGTCACTGACAATAAATCTGCTCCTTCATTTGTTGAATATGGAACGTCGCCTGGGCGATACACCTCTTCAGCTGAAGGAGAGAGCACCTCTTATAGTTACCTATTCTACAACTCAGGAAAGATACACCACACTGTCATTGGACCTCTGGAACATGGTACTGTTTATTTTTATCGATGTGGGGGACAAGGTCCTGAGTTTCAGCTCAAGACCCCTCCAGCCCAATTTCCTGTTACTTTTGCTGTGGCTGGGGATTTAGGTCAAACTGGCTGGACTAAAACAACACTAGACCACATTGACCAATGCAAATATGACATACATCTGCTTCCTGGGGACCTTTCATATGCGGATTACATGCAGCATCGCTGGGACACCTTCGGTGAGCTGGTGCAGCCACTTGCAAGTGCCAGACCATGGATGGTAACAGAAGGCAACCATGAAAAGGAGAATATACCACTACTTATAAATGCATTTGAGTCCTATAATGCTAGATGGAAAATGCCTTTTGAGGAAAGTGGATCAACCTCGAATCTTTATTATTCTTTTGAAGTTGCAGGGGTCCATGTTATCATGCTTGGTTCATATACAGATTATGATGAGCTCTCAGATCAATATAGTTGGTGGAAGGTTGGTTTTTCCTTTCCTCTCATTAAGTGCTTTCTGCTCGAACCACAAGGCAGCAAAGTGTTCTGTGGCCTATTAGAAAGTCTGTAACTCTGTCTGTCATGATCATAATGAAATCCCCTGTTCTGTGTATTTTGACAAAGTTTCTTGACACTTAAAATTGTAGGCTGATCTTTCAAAGGTGGACCGGAAAAAGACACCCTGGCTAGTTGTGTTATTCCATGTTCCATGGTACAATAGTAACAATGCTCATCAAGGTGAAGGGAATGGGATGATGGCAGCCATGGAACCACTGCTTTACGCTGCTGGTGTTGATTTAGTACTTGCTGGTCATGTGCATGCTTATGAGCGCACTGTATGTCAAAACTGGCTTAGCTTTGTTCATTTTTCTTAATATTAGTAGAATGGGTTTATGATATGTTGTTCACTACTTGACAGAACCGTGTTAACAAAGGAAAATCAGATCCTTGTGGTACTGTTCATATTACTATTGGAGATGGAGGCAACAAAGAAGGTTTAGCTCAAAAGTATGTCCTTGTCTGTAGAATACTTCCTGTAAATGTTAAATTTAATTAGAAAACAATTTTATTACCAGAAGTTTTATTTTTTAAAATTTTGATTCTAGATGTACAAGTTGAACATCATGCACTTATCTTTTGTGTTCTTACAACTTCCAGCTACAAATTAAGCTTACCTTTAATAACATACATGCAAATCTATTGTGGGCTGCAATTTCAGTAAGGTCTGTAAATTTACTTGCAGGTACCTGCACCCACAGCCTGAGTGGTCATTGTTTCGTGAAGCAAGCTTTGGTCATGGTGAGCTCAACATCGTGAATTCAACTCATGCATTTTGGAGCTGGCACCGGAATGATGATGATGAACCAGTGAGATCTGATCAAGTGTGGATAACCTCTCTCATTAGTTCTGGATGTCTGGCAGAAAAGAATTATGAATTAAGGAAAATTCTTATGACTCCTTAAAATGGATAAGTCTTCATGATCCAATTTATTAGATTGGGCTAAGTTTTTGCTACAGAGTTTGATGTTTATATGTCAATCCTAGTCATTGTTTGAATTAGTAAAATGCTTGTCCCCTTCATGTAATGTAGCATAACAGGGAGTGGCAACTAGGCCATTACCAATTGAAGTTCGCACTTGCAGTTGTCCAATTTGTTATATATAAATCAGCTACAGCTTGCAGCTTGTCAATTTAATCAATCCTATTCCATCGCATTAGTATTATGCTGAAGTTCCATCTTGCATATATTAATTTCTGGATTCCATTGTTTCTCATATAAGAATGGATGAAAAACAACAAATTTCCATGAATTGGAGACAAGACATCAAAACCTTAAACCATGTATTTAGTACTGAAGTTGATGCTACATATCAGTATCTTATTGGCATGCCTCGTTTGATAGTAGCATCAATTGATTGTTGTTGTACTAATACTTGAGATGGAGTCTTGCATTCGCCAAAGCAGATGATTTATGGTGAGAGAGGCTCATTTCATTGTACAACATGAGCTAAAAGGCATGTAAAGCATCAATGAATCTACAGACATTGACCATTGAATTATGTTTCATGTCATCTGCAGCCCATGAAGGACTTGCCATACTTGCAATCTAAAGGGATTGCATCAACTTTCTTAGTCCAATGTTTCATTAACAGTTGATTCTTGTTGGGGCAACAAACCTCCAAAATTGTACTAGGTTTAAAACACAACGACAAGTTTTTACATCTCATGACAATGACAAACTTGTACAAGGTCAATACACGCTACCTTATGCCTGGACTGCAGTTTGACTGATGCACCGATGCTGAAAGCAACGATAGCTTCTCTGGGCAACGGAATCAACAAGAAATGAATCCAACAAACCTTGGCCTCAGAGCGTACTATCCAACTCTTTTCCTCTCTTAGGGTGTTGATGTTTCCCCATGATAAATGACCACCAGTTCGTAACAGTCTCAGATTTCCAGTTTGCAACCTCAACTATGCATCCAGAGATTTCTCATTGGCATCTGAAATGTCAGAGTTGAGTTCCTGATCTCTCTTTCCCCTCCAGAGTATAATCTGTTCATCCTTGAATAAAATAGGTACACAAGGAACCAAGTCCTGCATTTACAGGAAAAAATGAAACAAACCCTGGGAATTAGTATTGAATTAAAGAACATTAAAATTTCTCCTAAAAAGGCTTGTAAGTACCAGAAATCAACTAGAAAGCAGGAGCCATACCCTTAGTTTCACGCCTATCCTTTTGCAGTCACTGGTACCAACATGGGTGCAGTCTAGTCTAACTACCTCTTCGGTCTCGAAGGCCTCCCTGACTCTTGCCACTACATTTACATACACTCCATTCCTTGCTAATCATAAAATTGCAGCATAAGTATTCACTTTATGACTTACTTTAAGTCATCATTACTACATCAAGATTCAAGATCAAGCTAGAAATACCTCTGGGAAAAACCACTTACTAAGTTTCATAAGAGCAGGAGAGTGGAGTCCCCTGTTTCTCATTTCTTTGGTTTCTTCAAATGTCAGGCCATCAGCAACATTCTTCACAAGCTTCGGATATATAGGAGCATAAGGCCTCCATAGCATAAGAGGTATGACTGGTCGGTTCTTGGGATCATAGTTTCGACCCCGGTATAAAATGAGGACATTTATGTGGCGGTAGATGATCTTCCCCCCAGATTTATCCTACAGAAATATTACCATCTAGATCAGCTAATAATACTCCTTACAAGATCAAAACACACCATCAAACTCATGGAGACTGTTTTCAGGTCAAACCTCAAGGTGGAAACAGACATTGTCCATGTCAAGAGTTGGCACCCCCAAGCACTTGATCCTCACAGCTTCAGCTCTCTTCCAATGATTGTAAATGTCATCCAACATGTTGTGAGTGACCCCATTCTTCCCTGTCATATAAAAACATCAAAATGCATGAAAAAGTTTCAAACTTTTATTGAAAAAACAAGGCTTTAAGTAAAGAAGAGGTGACAAGAAAATTACCCAGATTGATTTGCCTAGCACAATCACTATGCCGATACTTTTCAACCAGCCCCCCAACTTCCACCTCCGTAAGTGGGTCTCCAAGAACCCGTCTCCTCTCCTCCTCGACTCGACAACCATTCACTTCATCTCGGGCAGGGGCTGAAGTCCCAGTCCATTCCCTATCAAGCTTGCCAGGTCCAAATGGAGAAAACCTCTTGGGTTCTCGGAACCCAATGGGTTCAAGGTTCGGGTCGGTTTCAGAGTACGAGTGCCTGAAGTCAAATGGGAGGTCTGACTTGAGAGGAGGAGGAGGGTTTGGGTTGGGGGTAGTGTCGGGGAGTTTTGGTTTGGGACCTTTGGGTTTTGGGGATTTGGAAATAGGGGAAAATGGAGGGTCGTAAGTGGTTTTGGAGACAGAGTGGGAGAAGAAATAAGAGAGGTAGGGCTTTGGTGGGTTTGAGAATGGACGTGAAAGGTGCTTTTGCATTGTTCTGGAAGAAGGAAAAATTGGCTGCTAACGGTAGCGTTTGGCTATGGAAGAGGGTGATTTTAAAGCCAGCAATTCAATGAGGGGTATTTTGGTAATTATAGATAGTTAATTATTTGTTTAATCGGTGCCCCTTAGTTTTGGTTCTTTTCATTTACGCCTGAGACTTTTGCCAAGGCCTCTCATATGGGCTGATCAATATGCAACATTGACTTGGTTTCATTCAAGAGGATTCATGTCATCATCACATCAAGCTCTTTCATTGATAAGTTTATCGGTAAAAACCACCTGATGAATCTTTGCAAAGCTAGCATAACATATCCAAACATCGGCTGCTGGTGTTAAACATTAGACTTGTTTGATTCAAGGGAATTGCAGGTTGTGGCTATGGGGAAAGCCGAAAGCTACATGAAACAGAAACAAACATGATAACGAACAAGTCTCACCCGACTGCGAAAAACAGTTCTTGGATATTTCATTGTTACAATACATTCAATCACTGGCAAATTTGCATATATCAACTAACTGAAAATGCAAAATTAGTAGAATCAATCTTTAGGGAATTTGCTCAACCTTTCATCCTTTAGTCGCCTCTGATCCCCAACCATGGACTCAAAAACATCCAAGAGATTATCTAATCCATCAACATTGTCTCCCAAAGCTTTCAAGGTATACACAATGCTCTCAATGGTTGACAAACATCCTGCCCTTGGCTGATGCCTTATTTCACTATACAAGCTCATCTTGTCCAAATCCAACCTCAGATGTGACAAAAGCTTCAACCAGGGGTTCTCATTGTAAATTCTCCCAGCCTTGGACCATGTCCCATCTAAAACAATCAAATTCTTCACTTCAAAATTCATACACTTAAGGTCATCAACTCCAACTGCATATTGACTTGGGAATAGAAGCACAGATCCAGGGGGAACCTTGACTTCAAACTCTTCATTCTCTTCCACTTCCATTTTCCCATCCAGTTTCCGCCTTCCAAATTTTTTCACAACAAATCCTCCTGCCAAAGCATCCCTGGCCGTCGTAGAGGCCAAAATGTGATCAAACTTTGGCTTCTTCCCATGTATGTCCACCTTCCAAATATGAGAAAGATCAGAAATACGTCCATACTTAATCATCATAGCACAAATGACAGGTTCTTCTCTATCATTAGAAGTGGCTCCATTTTGAGCAAAATCAGTTCTGTCATCTAAAACAGCTTCACTTAACAAATTACCATCCAAATTAGACCCTTTCCCTAACTTCTCACAAGGATTCTTCATAGCCAATGAACCTTTTACACCACCACATTCTCCACCAGTTAACTCTAACAATAGCTCATCACCACTAGAAACATCTAAAGTCTCCACAAAATTCAAAACTTCTAAAGAATTACCCGCTTTTCGACTCCTATTAACATCATTTTCCAAACTAAAGTCTCCATTTTTGTCAATCAAGTCCAATGAACCTTTTGCATTAGCACATTCTCTACCAGTTAACTCTAACAACACCTCATCACCACTAGAAACATCTAAATTCTCCACAAAATTCAAACCTTTTAAAGGATTTCCCGCACTCCTACTAACATCTGTTTCCAAACTAAATTCTTCATTCTTTTCGATTAAGTCCCTACTTTTCTCATATGGACACTTCCCATTTCCCTCAACGGAAAAATCAAAACTCTCAGAACCAACTTTCTGCGTCTCTTCTTTTCCCCCCACTTGACCAAACCCAGAACTTTCCAATCCAACCCGACCCATACCCGACTCATGACCCGGTTCCAACAACCTGATTTCAAACCGGGCTTCAAAATCAACTTCAAAAACAGTGACTACATTGAGATTTTTGAGTCCTAATTTTGCAATTCTAGTAGAATTCAAAGGATGGTTTCTTTCTGAACTGTGTTGAAGAATGGTTACACTTACAGAATTGTCAAGGTTCCAGGTCCGGATCCTATAGCAGAGGCAGACTCGGGTGGGTTTGGAGCAAGATGGACATGTGGGTCTTTTTGGTTTTGGATTTGATTGCGTTGTAGACATTTTTAGGGTTTTTGAGGATTTGGGGATTTGGCTTTGTAAAGGAGTGGGAAATGGATTGAATGGGTTGGTTCGCTTTGGAGATCGGATCCGGGTCCGAAAATGGATTAGCATTTGACGAGCTCTCAGCGCTAGTTTTTGCCATTTTGCTTTTGCATTTGCATTTTATAGCCCTTTCTTAAACCCCAAGGCCTTGATATTTGGGTCTGATAGAAAAGTTAAAACGATGTCGTACATAAAGATTTGGATTTTGGACAAATAGTTCTCTTAAAAAAAAATAGCTACTTTTTAAAATAGAGTAATGTTATTTTTACTCAACTTCTTCTCAGTATATCTCAAAATTTTAACCTTTAATAAATTATTTTTTTATCTTTCATACTGTATTTTAGAAATTTATTTTCAAAAGCTTTTAAAGATTTTTGAAAATAAATGTCCAAACATCTTTAAAATTTTTTTAAATTTTATATATTTAGTTTTGAAAATTTTTTATTTTTGAAAGCTTTTAAAAGTTTTTGGATATCAAATTTTGAAAACTTTTAACAACTCTAAAAAATTTATTTTCGAAAATTTCGACTCGTATCTAAATATTTTAACATAAAATCTTATAAAATTAAAAGTAAAATATAACGAAAAAATAAAAAAAACAAATAATTTACTTTTGATTTTATGCTTTTTAACTTTAATTTAGTGAAATTTTCTTTAAATTTGGCTTGATTGGCCAATTGGGGTTTAAAATTCTTTAGGTTTTTGATTGAAAAGAGAGAGAAAATGTGGTGTGAGGAAATAGGGTGTTTGGATTTTTCATAAATTTATGTTTTGAGTTTGAGATGTATTGAGTAAGAGTGTAATCGATCAACTTTCAGTTGATATAGCATTAAATTCGAGTGTAAGTTCGATTCGAAATTTATGACTCAAAATTCAATTTGAATTTGATTGAAATTTTTTTTAGGTCGAACTCAATTTAATAAAAATCAAGTTATTTAACTTATTTGATTAGGCTCGATTAATATGTAAAAATAAGTTTGATTCTTATATTTGATAAAAATTTGATTATTTGTACTTGAGTTCGAATTCAAAATATTTTATTAATTATAATAATTAAAATATATTAAAATATAAAAATTTGATTAGATTCATAAATTATTCAATTTAAGTATAAAAATATTCGAATTTAACTTAATCACTAAATCAAACTATTAAAATTTGAACTTGATTTAATAATAATAAAATTAAATTTAAATTTTATTTAAATTAATTTAAATAAATTATGAATATTAATATAAGGAGCATAAGAAGAGGAAAGTTAGGGTGCAAATAGCACCACCCTCTCAAATAAATTGCTTAAACAATAGAGAAGCAAATTTGGAAACTTCTAATAAGTTAGGGGCAAATCTTGAAAATAAACAAAATAAAAGCAGTTAGAACATTGGAGCCTTTGACCAACGGAAAATTCCACACGCCAGAAAAAAGCGAAGTGTTTAGAAAAAGCTTTCACCACAAAACACTCAAAAGCAGAACCCATTTGATTTTCCATTTTGTTTCCCTTTGATCTGTTCAACTCAAGTTTACTCTTAATTTTCTCAAGAAAAAAAAGAAACCCAGTTGAAGAAAAAGAAATAAAGCAAAAAAAACCTTCCCAAAATGCATGATTTTTGCTTCACAATCCCTTATGGATTGATCCTTGTGGCTGGAGGGGTTATTGGGTATTTGAAGAAAGGGAGCACAGCATCACTTGGTGGGGGTGTAGGCACTGGATTAGTTCTCATTCTTGCTGGATATTTGAGTCTTAAGGCTTTTGAGAAGAGAAAGAACTCTTATTTGGCTTTCGTTCTTGAGACTGGTAACGTTTTAAAAACGTCAACTTTCTTACATACTTTTGCCTTTTTCTTTGATTTTATGATTTTTTGTTGTAAATTTGATCTGGGTTTTTGTTTAATTACCTTTATGATTTGGAGTTAGGAAATAAATGAATTTTGTAGTTTAAAGGTACTAAATTTAATTGTTGTTTAAATGTTGTGGATGGAAAAGTTTTGACTTTTGTAGTTTATGGATCAAAGATTTGATGTTGCAATGAACTTTGTAAGATAAACTTGATGTGGTTGTTTTGTTTTTGGATTTGGATTTGTGGTCTTGCATTGTGGGATTGAAGAATCAGTTTGGGTATTGTAGATCCAAAGTGGTACTATTATCTTGCTGAAATTGTAAGAAAATGGTCTTTGTTTTAGGTTTGAAATGGCTTCTTTCAACTATCATAGCTTTAACTGTCTTTAATCTTCCTAAAGCTCTCTGATGCAGTATTGTTAAGAGGCTTTCATCATCTGAAATTCAATATTGTTGCCAGATTTCGGGATATAATATTTCAGGACATCTATCATTGTCACTCTTAATACACAATTTTAGAAACAAATAGATCATCAAAGATAAGCTGATTTTCACTGTGGGTTGTTGCTTTCTATCATCCCTTTTAATCACAAAAAAAGTTTGTTTTTTTACTTATTTATATACCTTTAAACCAGTTATTGCTGCTGTGCTGACATGGGTCATGGGACAACGTTATTACCAAACATCTAAGATTATGCCAGCCGGAATTGTTGCTGGTATCAGGTAAGTAAATCTCCTATTGGACTTCTTTAGTACCTTCATATCACATTTTATCATGACTGTGATAATTGTACTGGCTAATCTTTTCATTATGTTTTTTCTGGCACCACAAGATTGATCCTTACATCAATTAAAACCTAACAAAACTCACATATGGATAAATATATCTTACGATTAAGACCTTACAAGTGCCAATTATGTGCCTTACAAAATAGCTCCTTTGGATCGATGATGTCAACTATCAAACCACAATGTCCAGTTCTTTTCATACCTATTGCATAATGATTGCAGGCTGCATTTTAATATCTTGTATACAAGTCTGCAGATTATCTGATTCTTTCATTATGGTTTTGTTGTTATGATCCGCCATCTATCTACATTCAACTAGAAACTGATTTTCAAATCATTAACTCATACTATTTCCGTTTCTGATGCAAAGGTTTTACGGCCTAACCTTAAATCCTCTGTTTGTATTTCTGTTGTAGACCCCTATCACTTTTCCCCTTGCCTCTCTTTCTCAACCCCTTTTGGCTTGGGGAGAAGGGTTTATTTTAGGTTTCTTTTGTTAGTTTGACATTCATTCAAAATTTTGAGAGCTACTAACTCATATGTCACTTCATTGCAGTGCTCTTATGACTGGGTTTTACTTGTATAAAATTGCTACTGGCGGCAATCATATTCCAGCCAAGGCTGAATGACACTGTTACATTGACTACCGGTTTTAACAGATCAGTCAAGATCATTGAAGCTCAGATGCTTGTATTGGCAAATTTTATTTGTATCACATGTGCTATACTCTGATGTGTGTACGAAGCAAAACATAGCCTGTGTTATATGTAAAAGAACCCTGGTTGATGACCTAAATTATGTTGTTTCTAAGCAATTTTCTTCTTCTGAAGTTTAAATTTGTTCTTAGAATGAATAATTCACTTAATTTCCTACTGAGATCAGGTTTATACAGTGTTTGATGCAAATCCTAACATGAATTTGCTAGCTGGCTATATTCTCTATGTATTTGCAGACATCAAGAATTCCTTGGAACCAGAACTGCAGGGCTTGTCATAGATTCTGCAGAAGCTAAATACTGGTTTTCTTTTCTCCAAATGACAAAATGTCAAGTTCAAAGCACTGGAATTTAACACACTTAACCCCATATTTTGTCCTAATTTAACTAATCACTGACAAATTTTCGACTTTAACTTACATGCAATCCACTATCAAGTGAAGTATCTTCATTGACATCAATCACAACATTCAACAGTGTATCCATTTTAAAGAAGGATAATATCCCTTTGAAAATGCCTTGAAAATCACCTAACTATAGGTTCCAACAAAGCTTCCAAAGAGTACTCGAAGAATCTTGTTTAGGAGATTTTCTTCATTTGCTAACATATAAAGGAAATATTAAAGATCCAATGATAGGTAAACAGATGAAATAAAAAAAATGTTATATAAGATCTATGTTCCACTCCATAAAAAGCCAATAAAAGAAGATCAATAATTTCTTCTCCCTGAATTTCCCATACTTTTAAGCACTCCCCCACGCCATCAGCTAAGTTTCCCTCCCTCGTAACCATGAACTGCATCATCGCTATTTTCCTGTTTCTTATCCCCATTCTCCTTCTCCTAACCAGGAGAAAATGATCATCACATAGGCTTCCACCAGGTTCACTAGGACTTCCATTAATAGGTCAAAGCTCTTGTCTTCTCCGAGCCGTGAGAACCAACACTGCAGAAGAACGGCTTCAGAAAAGGATAAGAGAGCATGGTCCAATATCGAAGATGAGTCTATTTAGCTAACCAACAGTTTTCATTTATGGTCAATCTGCAAACAAATTAGTATTTACCGGTGACAACAGCACGATTGTTAACCAGCAAGTCAAGTCAATCACTTCGATTCTAGGAAATCGGTGTATTTCGGAACTGACTGGTGAAGATCATAAGCGCCTTAGAGATGCTCTTGTATCATTCTTGAAGCCTGAATCATTGAGGGAGTACACGGGACAGATGGACGAAGAAGTTAGGAAACACCTTGAGATGCATTGGCATGGCAAGCAACAAGTCACGGTATGTTAATGCAAATTTTCTTAGCATACTCAACATTCCCTTGCTTTTCAGTAATCAGAAAAAATGGCATCTAACCATAGAAAATTAGACAACTCTATCATTTTACGAATAATGTTTGTTCCTGTCATGATAGGTGTTACCACTGATGAAAACCCTCACATTCAACATAATCTGCTCTCTCCTATTTGGACTTGAACGAGGATTCACAAGGGACAAACTTGCCGATGATTTTCAACAAATGAAAAAAGGAATGTGGACAGTACCAATTAATCTGCCTTTCTCACGATATAACAGTAGCCTTCAAGCAAGTTCAAGGGTCCAGAGAATAAAGAAGTAATATCTGAGATTATTCACAATGTTATGCTCATCATGGTTGCTGGACATGACACTTCTGTTCTTCTCACGTTCTTTGTGCGCCTTTTAGCTAATGATCCCGCCATTTACACAGCTGTTCTTCAAGGTATATATAAACATTATCTTATTTAAGTTCCAAAACCCTTGCTTGAAATCAATTAAATCTTGCACCGGAATGATTAACTTTGGTGAAAATTTTGCAGAAAAGGGACTTAAGACATTAGGTTGCTTGTTGATTTGTGGTTGCAGAACAGGAGGAAATAGCAAAGAGCAAGCCTAATGGGGAGCTTCTGACATGGGAAGACCTGGCCAAGATGAAATACGCATTAACAATTGCCACGGAAACCCTGAGGCGATTCCCACCAATCTTTCGTGGCTTCAGGAAAGTTGTAAAAGATATCAAGTTTGGTGAATATATTCTTCCAAAGGACTAGCAAGTAAGTAAAATCATACATACATTCCATTCAACTTTTTCTTCGCTATTATCTTACTGATTATTTACTGATTTGTATTAAGATTTTCTGGTTACGGGCATTACACAAATGGATGATAGCATATTTCCTGAACCATCACAATTTGATCCGACAAGATTGAGAATCCAGCTTCAATTCCACCTTACAACTTCATTCCATTCGGAGGGGGACCTCGGATATGTCCAGGATACGACTTTGCAAGGATTGAAACCCTTGTTTCAATTCACTATCTGGTTACTCGGTTCACTTGGAAGTTATATGTTCAGGCAACTTTTTCAGCAGGCATCCAATGCCTGCTCCAACTACAGGCCTACCAGTTCAAATCAGGCCCAGAAATCTCTGATCTTTGCTTGCTTCAAAGAAACTTGCAAGTTTTCTGTTGCTGATCAAATGATGAGAAATTTTTATTCAGTTAAAGGATTAAGTAGGCCTGTAAAATATAGTAAGACTCTCAGAATCATAATACCAAACTAGCTCTGTTCAACTGAAAAACTAAATACTCCAAATTTAAAAACTCAAGACAGCCAAACATGTTTCCCATCCATGTTAGAATAAGAGTAAACTCAAACCCATGTAGCAGCTAAGACTACTTTTTCCACAAGCACTCACCGAATGTGCATCATAAAACAAGCAAAATTTGCAGTTGCAGCTCCACATAAAACCAAAAATTTGAACAAAAGAATGGATATCATAATTCTATCCGCATTAATTTTCCATATTTATCATGTAAAACAATCCAATACCTGACATCTTCAACTACCAGTCTAATTACCATATTTACAACTGATATGGAACACATTCTTGAGCATCTTTGCATACAATTGGTCTAAACGATAGATGTGCTAACAGTAGTGGTTGACCACTGGCAGAAGCAAAGCTGTCTAGCAGTTTCGTGGCCTAGAGTACTTTGGAGGCATAGAAGGACATCGTTCATTCATATGGGGGTATGGATCCACGGAATTATATCCGGGTAGTTCCATTCGATACTTCCCTCGAATCTGACAATAAGGAAGCTTTACATCATCTGCATCATTGCACCACTTTGGCAGCCGGCTTGAATTATTCTCGAAAAACCTTAGAGTATAAGCATCTTTGATCTGTGTTTTCAGTACCAATTCAATCAACAACGGATTGCATCATAAACTACTCAGAGGAGCTTGTTGTACATATAAATGAAAGATCGTATATAAATGAAAGATCGTATTTTGAAAGGGAAATCCTATCACCCTAAACAAAGACTTTACTGAAAAATAAGCTCACCGTGAATTCAGTGACTTGAATAGAGTCAGCAATTGGATCAAAAAGCCCTGCCTCCTTATACATTTCAAGGACAAAAGCAATGCATGATGTTGACTTCCCATCACTATATATCCAATCATCCTGTTCAGGAATAGTCAGCAGTTCATCAAAAGATGACCCGCGCTTTTCTGTTTCCACCAATATATCAGAAAGATTAAGACCCTGCAATAAACACCATAATTAGATTA